CTTCTGACCAGTTACATTGGCTTTGTAATGTTAAACTCATCTTGTATGTGCTCTGAATAAACCAAAACTTCAATTTGGTCATCTGAACTTGATTGTGATTTTATACATACACATTCTTTTATTTTTTTGAAAGGTTGAGATTCCAAAAGAGACGTAAGCATCTTCACTGCTAGCCTAAACACCCACCCCAACAGGCACATACTGTATGATTCCTTTCATGGGAACTTCTGGAAGATACCAATGCATCCAAAATGGTAGGAAGATTAGTAGTTGCCTGGGGATGGATGTGGCTGGAGTTGTACTCAGAAGATAGGTTAGAGAGCTCCTCCATCTGCTGATGCACTCCCCAAATGCCCACAACTGCCAAAGCTGGTCCAAGCAAAGTCAGGAGCTGGGAACTCAGTCTGGGTCTCCCACGCGGGAGCAGGGAGCCAACTACTTGACTCATCACCTGCTGCCTCCTGGGGTGCACATTTATCTGGAACCTGCAGTCAGGAGCAGAGCTGAGACTCAAACTTAGGCCCTCTGAAATGGGATTCAGCTTCCCAGACCCCAAGCCTGATGCTCTCACATGCACATCCGCGTGTACACACACACACACACACACACACACACAGACAGTATCCTACCTTGAATGCTTTTCTTTAAAATAGATTTATTTATTTGAGAGGCAGAATTAGAGAAGGAGAGAGGGAGAGACAGATACAGGTCTTTCATCCATTCCCAAATGGCCAAAACAGCCGGAGCTGGGTCAATTCAAAGGCAAGTTCCAGGATCTTCTTCCAGGTCTCCCCTATGAATGCAGGGATCCAAGCACTTGGATTGCTTTCCCAGGCACATTAGCAGGGAGCTTGATCGGAAATGGGGCAGCCAGGACTCCAACTGGCACCCATATGGGCTGCCAGTGCCGCAGACAGATGTTTAACCTACTACGCCACAGTGCTGGCCTCCTTTGAATGCTTTTGAAGATACTAGTAAAACTATTGGGACATGGAAAGACTTAAATACTGATTTAATGTGTTTAATGATTCAAGTACTATTCAGATTTTTCATTTGTAACTGATTGAGTTTTTGTTGTTAAGATTTATTTATTTTAAAGAGTTACAGAGAGAGCTAGAGCAGGAGGGAGAGAAAGGTCTCTGATCTGCTGGTTCACTCTCCCAAATGACCGCAGTGGCCAAAGCTGAGCTGCTTCCAGCTCTCTCACGTAAGTGCAGAGGTCCAAGGACTTGGGCCACCTTCAACTGCTTTCCCAGGCCATAGCAGGGATCTGGATCAGAAGAGGAGCAGCCAGAACTCAAACCAACGCTCATATGGGATTCCAGCACTGCAGGCCAGGGCTTTAACCCACTGCGCCACAACACTGGTCCCCTGATTGAGTTTTAGTGTTTTACCTTTTTCCAAATAATTTGTCCATATTGTTTGTTTTCAGATTTACTGGTATGTGGTTGCTAAGAATATCCTTGTTTTAGAGATATTTTTAAAGATTTATTTATTTATGTGTTTGAAAGACTTACAAAGAAAAGGAGAGAAAGTTCCTCCATCCATTGGTTTATTCCCCAAGGGGCCACAGTGGCCAGGCCTGAGCCAGACCAAAGCCAAGAGCTTCATCCCTGTCTCCCACATGGGTGGCAGGGACCGAAACACTTGGGCCGTCTTCCACAGCTTATCCCAGGCCATTAACAGGCAGTTGGATAGGAAATGCGTTAGCTTGCACACGAGCTGGGACCCATATGGGATGCCAGCATCGCAGATGGTGGTGACTACCCATTATGCCCCAAAGCCAGACCTGTTTTATATTTAGTTACAGCTTCCTTTTCATTGCTAATATTACCTGTGCCTGCTCTTGTCATTGCCCTCATCACTTTCACCAGAGAGAGTTTCTATCTCTGATTAATTTCTGTCCTTGGCATTTTCTTCTTGCTGCTTTCTTTGCATTTACTTTGCCGTTATTTTTCTAAATTCTTGGGATAGGTGATGTGCTTTTTTATTCCCTCAGCCTTCTTCCCTAACATAAGCGGTAGGCTATATGTTACCTTCTGAGTACAATTCTAGCCAGCCACATCCATTCCTTTGGATTGGCTGATCTTCTTATCATTTTGGATGGGTTTTCATTTTCTAGAACTCTGTGAAAGGGATCACACAGTCTGTTCTTGTTGTTATCATGCGTAGGACCTATATTGGAGAACCTGGGTTCCATACCCAGCTCTGGCCTCTAATGCCAGCTTCCTGTTAATGAGAACCCTAGGAAGCAGTGATGACGGCTCATGGAATTGGGTTCCTGCCACGCATGTGGGAGCCCTGACTTTGGCTCATCCTATCCCTGACCATTGCAGTTAACTTGGGGGTGAACCAATGAACATTTCTCCGTCTCTCTCTCTCTCCCTCTCTCTCTCTCATTGCCTGTTTGTCTGTACGCCTGTTTTTGTCTAGCTGTATTCATGCACTTGACTGTGTTGCTGTATACATCCTTCATGCATTCATTTTGATGGCGTATACCTTGTGGGTATAACACAGTTTTCCTCTTTTTTACTCACCTGTCAATGGGCATTTGAGTTGTTTCCAGTTTTGATTGTTAGATCTGAAGCTGCTATGAACATTGTGCACAGGTGTTTTGTGAGAACACATGCTTTCATTTTTCCTGGGTAAATAGCTAGAAGTAGAACTGCTGGGTCACACAGTTTTTTAAGAAACTGCCAAATTGCAGAGTAATTGTGCCATTTTATGTTCCTCCCAGCAGTGTGAGAGAATCGTGGGTGAGTGTGTTCTGGTTCTCCATTGTAGGGTTTTGTTTCCATTTCTTTTGTTTGTTTTTACTTACTTCACAGACAGAGAGAACTCCCATCCACTAGTTCACTCCCCAGAGCCCACAGCAGCCAGGGCTGGACCTGGCCAAAAGCTATGACTGGAGCAATCCAGGTCTCCCCCTGGAGTGGCACCGAAAGCCACCCTACATAATTGTGTTGCTATCATATGGTATATCAATTAGAACTGTATTTATTTGGCTACTTAACTGTAGATGTACATATAAGTTGATTGTAAATTTTCTCAAAGATAAATAGTGCTGTAATGAACATCTTTGAGTATCACTTCTTGGGCTCACATTTGGGACTAGATTATACATAGAATTGCAGATCAAAAGCTTATCTGCATCATATTATATCTCCCAGTTTCTTTTAAACAGTTCTTAAATAATTAGCACAGGGCCGACACTGTGAAGCAGTGAGTTAAGCCTCCATCTGTGATGCCAGCATCTCATATAGGCTCTTGTTGGAATCCCAGCTTCTCCACTTCTGATCCAGCTTCCTGCTAATGTGCCTAGGAAAGCAGTGGAGGACAGCCCAAGTGCTTGGGCTTCTGCACCCACGTGAGAGACCTGAAGGAAGCTCCTGGCTCCTGCCTTCTGATCGGCCAAGTTTCAGCTGTTGCAGCCTGTGTCTCTTCCTCTCTCTCTAACTCTTGCCTCTGAAATAAATAAGTCAATGAAAATAAAAAATGAACAAACACAGAAAAAGTAAATATTACCACAAACCTTCATATGCAAGAAGTGAACTCAGCAAGCATGCATTAAGGATGTTCTATGTAATATCCTTCTTGTTACAGGTTTTTGATTGCTTCAGACCCAGTACCTTCTTTTTAGATGTGTGTGTATGTACATATGTATAAATAATAGATTTATATATATATAAAGATTTATGTATTTATTTGAAAGGCTCAATAACAGAAAACAAGATCTTCTTTCAGCTTGTTCACATTCGAACTGCAGAGGCCAGGCCAAACTAGGAGACAGAAACTCTATCCAGTCTCCCACATGAGTAGTAGGAACCCCAGTGCTTGGTCCATCATCTCCTTCTCCCAGGTGTATTAGAAGGAAATTGGATCAGAAGCCAGAGTAGCAGGGACTTGAACCAGGCACTCTGGTAAGAGATGCAGGCATCCCTTGGCATGGTGTAACCCTCTGTACCACAATCCCTGCCCCCCCCCACCGCCCCCAGTATTTCTTTAAAGAGCAAAATAATGCTCATAGAAAATATAACCATTTTATGCAAATAATGTCCCCTAAAATCAATATAATTTAAGAGAAATATAGAAAAGTGATTTTTTTTATAATATGCATTTTGTCTATGGGTGCCATAGATGATATGATGAATCATTTAGATAGTTACACATAGTTTAAAAAGGTAGGACTTGCATAAGAAGATAAAAGCATTTTGTAGATGAAATGCAGTCAGTAGAACTAAAATAAAAATATTAGAATAAGTAAGATTAGACTTGTGGTATAAGAGAAAAACAGTTGATAAGAGAAATTGTCAAACAGAAAATGAGGAAGCACGATGTCCTTGCCAGAGAGCTAGCTTACGCCGAAGTGTTGCGCCTAAGTGATGGCTGCTGGTGACGCCTGGGCACAGTCATGATAAGCTGTCACGGGAAACATCTCCTCGCTTGGACTCTCACGGCTTTTGAGATAGACCTTGAGTGTCTAACACTTGAGAAAGAACTTGGGAACCATATCATTTTACTGGTCACAGGAAATAGAGAATTAAAAAATGAAACAGTTTTGTCTTCCAAAACAAAAAATTAAATGTTAGGTATTTTCCGCGGGAGAAGATGACGTCTCATACAGTCACAGACTGCGCTCTGCGCTCAGCTTCCTCAGGGAAGTGACAGTCGGGCTGCCCTCTGTTGGTGCAGTGCGCGTTTGGTGTATCATTTAATCCTCTCAATACCTTGTGAGGTAAAAGGTGTTAACCTCAGTCTTACAGATGAGTAGGCAGATGCTTAAAGCAATGAAGGAACTTGCCCAAAGCTGCTGAAACAAGAGCTACAATTCTTCGGGGTAATGTGTTTCCATGTGCCTCGCTGCCTGTTCATGTGTTTCAGTTAGCTCGTAGTTGTAAAATAGCCTGCTTTTTAGAACACTTTCGGTAGCAAGTGGCAGAATTTTTCATAGACTTTTGTACGTCATCTTACCAAAGAAAATTTTCCTTGTTCTTTTTTAGATGGGTAAGAAGATACATCTTAAAAATGAGGAAAAATATGAACAACTGTTATTTCTGACTTGGTGAAAAATAAGATCATTCATAATACTGAATTCTGGTGATATATGCTGGTTTTAAAAGGTATCCTTGGAAATTTCTTTCTTTCTTTTTGTTTTTTTAAGATCTGTTTGTTGGAGAGTTCTTCCATCCACTGGCTTACTCCCCAAATGCTCCCGATAGCTAGAGCTAGAACAGGCTGAAGCCAAGAACCAGCAGCTCCCAACTGAGTCTCCCACACGAAGGGAAGGGACTCGCATTTGAGCCATCACCTGCTGCATCCCAGGAGCGATTGCAGGGAGCTAGATTACAACTGGAGTAGCCGAGATTGGGACTGGCACTCTGATTGGGACGCAGGCATCCCGAACAGCAGCTTAATCTGTGCCACACCACAATGTGTGCCCCATGGGAAGTCTGCAGAAATGGTTTATAAAAGCAGTATAGTGTCTTTACCACTTCAGGGTCTGAAAAATCATTTTCACCTCTCCCTTTGACCTCTGTTGCCCTCTTCACTCTGACTTGTTTTTCTCCATAATACTCATCATTTTCTGCAGAATTCTTTATCAAACAAGAACATAAATTCTGGGGAAGTCATAACTTTGTATCATTTGCTGCTGTGTTCCCAGTGCCTAAAATAGGGTGTGTGGAGTATAGTGAACACTCAGGATTTGTTTATTGAATGAATAAATATATTCTTTTTTGGTGTTTTTCACATGTAATCACAGTGTTCATACAATTTTGTGTCTCGTGTTTTTATAAAAAAATATTCCACAGAGTAAATATTATCCTTCCTTGGATTTCTACATAGCCTGCATAACATCGTGTCTAGCAAATATAGCACAGTTCACTGTATTTCACTAGTTCATCTCTTAGTTTGGACATATAAATTGCTTTTCTGTATCATTAGTTAACATTGATAAACATGTGCATTCTGTACCAGTCAAGAGGCTTAACAGTGAGGCCAGCATTGGGCCATAGCAGGTTACACCACGGCCTGTGATGCCCGCATCCCATAAGGGCACTGGTTTGAGTCCCAGCTGCACCTCTTCCAATCCAGCTCTTTGTTAATGGCCTGGGAAAAGCTGCAGAAGATGGCCCTGCTTGTACTTGGGCCCCTGCCACCCACTTGGGAGACCCAGGTGAAACTCCTGGCCCCTGACGCCCAGCCATTGCAGCCATCCAGGGAGTGAGCCAGCTCATCCAAGGTCTCTCTCTCTCTCTCTTTTTGTCTCTGTCTCTCCCTCTCTCTCAGTAACTCTGATTTTAAAGTAAATCTTTAAAAGGGAGAGAGGTTTAATATCAAACCACATAAAACCAAATGTTGCTGATTTTTACAGAAATGAGACTCATAGACTCAAAAAGAACACAGGATTAACATATACATGAGGATGAACAGACAGATTGCGATAAACTTTATACCAGGAGGCTCAGAGCAACACCAGGCAGCAGCTGCAGAGCTGGGGTGCTGCTGATCCAGCACAGCCTGTCACTGAAGCTGGAGCTGGAACTGCCGCTTCAGGTCTCAGCCTAGGACACCTGCCTGACCCGTGTCCGTCCTCCTCCTGGGAAGCCAGGGCTGCAAGTGTCTGACGTGACGCTGCTTCACCCAGACCGCCGAAAGAGATTCTGTAGAAAAATAATTAAGAACCCCACACTGATAAAGCGGTTTCTGGATTAAGGATAATTTCTGTAAGGTCGGTTCCCAGAAGTAGAATTATGAGATCAGATCAGTGAACCAGACTTGTTGACCGCAATTGTTTGGCCTTGGAGCTTTTGGCTCCCTTGTATTGGTCTCTTTGCTTTTGCACACCGCTTACTGACGACGTAGGGAATAGCATCAGGCTTCTTAGAACTGTGAATACATGTTGAGGTGGAAGGACTCATAGTCTACTTTCTCAGAGAGGAGAACCATCTGTTTCCCCCCTTGGCTAATTTTTCCCTGTTGGATTTGTGCTAGAACCTGAAAAGGGGCTGTTCATTTAACTTAGAATGTTAGTGCATAAGTAGAATTCTGGAGTAGAAATCGGTCATTCCTAGCAATGTGAACTTTAAAAAATTCTTCCCTTCTTCAACCTCCTTCTCTACCCTCTGCAAAAATAAATATCTGTAAAACGTATTTCTTTCTGCATTTCTCCTAGGCTTTTACTTATTTGTTTCTGATCATTGGCCAGCCTTTCTTTCATATTAGTTGTTTGTTGAAGCACTAAAATAATAAGTCCTCGTGCCATTCAGGAAACTGCAGCCTGGCTTAGTGATTGGTGCTCATGTCTCAGAGCTGGAGAATCGAGTTGGTTTAGGTCCTACCTCTAGTTCATTGAGACTTCAGGCATTCCATTTGCTCCTGGCCTTGGGGAAGAGGCCATTTGGTGGGCCTGTTAGTAGTAGGTTTTCATTTGCACTGACTACACAAGTGCATCTGAGGCCAGAACTCTGCCCTGTGTTCGTGTTCATGTGCCTGCCGCCCGTTGGGTGGATGTAGTTCAGTGAGCCCAGTTATTCTTGGGGGTGTTTTTGTATGTCATGCAGCCCATATGCTGCTGCCTACCCTTTGAATGAAAGGGAAACTTGCAAAGGTCCCATAGAGTTCAAAAATACTACCCTACTGCGCTGTGAAGTTGAACACATGCTCGGAGAGTGTCTGGGTTCTGCAGATCTTCGCTCTACTCCTCATACTTTTAAACCTTTCTAGGAGGAGGCATTGTGCTTCAGTGGGGTCCTGGCTCCACTTGGAATCCAGCTTCCTGCTAATGCATCTGGAGGACAGCAGGTGATGGCTCCAGGGCTTGAGTCTGCCACCCGTGTGGGACACACGGATGGAGTTCACTCCCTGGCTGTTGCAAGCATTTGGAAGAGAACCAGCAGATGGAACATCTCTGTCTCTCTCTCTCCCTGTGTTGCTCTGCCTTTCCAATAAACACTTCTAAAACACACTGTTTGGAGTTGGTTGAACTGCATGGTAACATTCTTGTGAGCTGTCTGTTGAAGAAAGATAATTTGGAAGGGGAAGAGGTGGGGGGAGAGAAGATGAAGCAAAAGCAACAATCCAGGTGAGGGAGGAAGTTTTGAGAGCAAAGTGCGTCTTCCTTAACAAATTGTTAATCATATTACTAGAGGCTGATTTCAGCAGCTGGGGAAACAGCAGGAACATGTCGATGCCGCTTCCTTGGTTACAGGGAGTGGTAGTGTACTTGACCTTCAGCTGAGCGGGGTCATAGAGAGGGCATCCTTAAGCAGCAGTGTCTGGTTGTGGTGAATGGAATCTGCACTGACAGGGTTTAACAGCAAATGCCTGTGCTCTCTCTCAACCACCCCTTGGCCCTTTTGCTTGGACTCTATTTGGCCTGGTTGCTGAGGAAAAATGTAAATGAAGCTCAGGGAGCCATTGGCATGGTGAGTGTGGAAGGGTCCTGAAGCTTGGACTGCAATTTTGAAGTCTGTCTGTCTCTCTCTCTCTTTCTCTTTCTCTCTCTCTCTGGAGAAGCCTCCTTCTGCGGCAGTATATTTCAGTAGACACTTGTTTTTAGAGCAATCGGTAAAATAGCTGTGGATTTAGATGCCTGTTGTATATTTGAAAAAGTTCACTTTACTGTCTGTTGTTAGGTTAAGCTCCTAGCAAATTGTTTTTTCTTAGAAACCTGTATTCCACTGTGCTGGTTAAATTCAGGTGGGAAAAAGCAGTTAGTTTCTTCACTTTTCCGGGAGATTAATCTGCCTATGGACCAGATTACTCTCTAAGTATTTCATTGTTGTACATAATTATTGGGTAGTCATTGTTGACTTTGGATCTTTGTTATGCCAAGAAATTTAAGGCAGTAGTTGTAATTTTTTTAAACCTGTAGTATCAACTGGAAAATTCAAAAACTGTTTGTTTAATTCTGATATAAATGCTGCTGATTTATAATGTTCAGGTTTCATTCCTTCATAAAGTTTGCATAAAGAAGAGTTGCTCTTACCGGTCATCACGGTCATCAAGAGAAGTGATTCTGTAGCAACATGGCACACTGGGGTTGCCAGGTCCCCACACATTGTGTGACATGACAGTGAACTTTAAAGACTAGCAGCCTCCTGTAGAGTGTCCCATGACGCGAGCTGTCACACAGAGAGGGGCTAATATTTTGCCCATTGAACCTTCACCACACTATTTGATGGTCTTTTGAAATACATGATAAAAGGAGGATATAGTACATTTCCGTTCAGGCTGGAGTGTTGACATTTACATTGTTGGTTATTTCACCTGGACTATTTCTGGTTGAGGTTTGTAACATACAAGGTTTATGTGATCTGCTTTTCGAGAGTATGAACCTGTTACCCTATCAATACATGGGAATGTTGCAGCCCAAACCCAGAGTAAATTATAGATAAGACACACTTACTATTTGCTGAGTAACTCAAAGTTGTGAACATCGTCTTCAACGTGCATGTGCATCTTTCAGCAAATGACTGTATGTTAACCACAGGTGTCTTTCCTGACAGTTATTTCCTTTAAAAAATGAGAAGGCGGGAAGGCACTGTAGTATAATGGGTTAAGCCGCTGCCTGCACTGCCAGCATCCCATATGGGTACCAGGTCAGGTCCCGGCTGTTCCACTGCCTATCCAGCTCCCTGCTGATGTCCCTGGGAATTGCAGTAGAAGACAGCCAAAGTCCTTGGCCCCAGCACCCATGTGGGAGAATTGGATGAAGCTCCTCGCTTTGACCTGGTTCATCCCCATCTGTTATGGCCATTTGGGGAGTGAACCAGCAGATGGAAGATCTCTCTCTTTCTCTGTAACTCTGCCTTTCAAATACAAATAACTCTTTAAAAAACAAAGTAGAACAAAAGGTGCCGAGACAGCGATACGTAGGTGATACCAGTGAGACAGTTGGGGAATCAGAGGAGATACTAGAGAGGAATATGTCATCACACCCTTCTCCAGCGTTGCATCCAAAGCTCCTACTGTGTGACTAGATACCTGAAACCACTATTGCTGCAAAATTGTGCCCAGTACCTATGCCAACTAGAAATTACCAGCATGGCTGCCATGCAGCTGGTGATAACCTGTAGTTCCTTGTAATAACATTATAACAAAATTACCATGACCAACATCCCATTCCCAGTCATGAATCTGATGTCATGAGACTTAACGCCAAAAAATGGGCAGTTACTAGTTTCCTTTAAATCTCTCTCTTTCCCTGGGAATTCTGCCCACTGCACCACCTCCTATGAATATTCCATTTTCTATCTCTCAGGACGATGAGGGGCTGCTGCAAAGCTTGCCAGGCATAGTTCACTTTTGAATGTTCTTTCACTTTGCAAATACATTTTATTCCTCTGTTGTGCCTTAATTGTGTCTTGGTGAATTCCTACATGGGAGTTGTCCAACAGCGCTGTGATGAAATAAAAAGGTTCCCGTTCAGGGTGAAAATGTATGAACCATTAGGTTAATTAACCCACCTGTATTAGTGCAGCCAGTCCTCCTTGGCTCGAAGATGAAACTGCTAAGTGGTGACATACTGTACCTGCAGGCTATCTAGTTAGCGGATAGGCACAAGAGCAGAGTAAAACGAAAGATCTAGGCAGAGCTGCAGGATTCATATTCATTCATTGAGGTAGTAAGTGTTCTTTCACGAAGCATTCACTGTGGGCCTGGCTTTGGGGATAAGAGCAGGAGGAAATATTCCCTCCTGCCCCCGGAGATTGCTGTAGAGATTTCAGTGCCCTGTGGGGAGTGCCGAGATGCAGGACTGTGGGAACCCAGAGGAGGGCGTTCCTGCCACCCTGAGGGACCAGGAAAGGCTGGCCAGAAGAGCAAGGCTTCCACTCAGACTCTGTAGGTGCTAAACATTTCTGTATTGGGCAAGCGTGGGTAGTTTCAGAAACGTTGTGAAGGGGCTGGCGATGTGGCCCAGTGAGCTAAGCTCTGCCTGCAATGCCTGCATCCCATATGAGTGCCTGTTCAGGTCCCAGTTGATCCACTTCCGATCCAGCTCCCTGCCAAAGTGTCAGGGAAGGGAGCAGAGGATGACCCAAGTGCCTGGGCCCTGTCCCCTACGTGGGAAACCCAGATGGAGTTCCCGGCTCCTGGCTTCGGCCTGGCCCAGCCCTGGCTGTTGCAGCCATTTGGGAAGTGAACCAGTGAGTTAAACATCTCTATTTCTCTCTAACTCTGCCTTTCAATAAAATAAATAAACCTTTAAAAGAAGAAGAAAGAAAAAAAAGTAAAATGAACAGTGATTTTATCCTTAAAGTGTCTGTTGGAAACCATACCCAAACATCCTGTCACACCCGTGGTTTTAATTGAGTTCTTTGGATGAGCAGTTCAGTAGTTCTTTGGACAAGCAGTTTTCTTGTAAAGGTGCAGGTGTCTTAGCGAGGGTGTGACGTACACCTTAGTGCTGCCAGGCGTTTATACTAAAGCATAAACTAAGTGAGCAGGGCCAAGGGGTAGTAAGTGGACTCTGGCTAAGACTGACATCGAGCCCTGAGACGCAGGGAAGATAGAAAGGTGCAGCTTCTGGCCGGCGCCGCGGCTCACTAGGCTAATCCTCCGCCTTGCGGCGCCGGCACACCGGGTTCTAGTCCCGGTTGGGGCGCCGGATTCTGTCCCGGTTGCCCCTCTTCCAAGCCAGCTCTCTGCTGTGGCCCAGGAGTGCAGTGGAGGATGGCCCAAGTGCTTGGGCCCTGCACCCCATGGGAGACCAGGAGAAGTACCTGGCTCCTGCCATCAGATTAGCACGGTGCGCCGGCCGCAGCGCACCAGCCGCAGCGGCCATTGGAGAGTAAACCAACAGCAAAAAGGAAGACCTTTCTCTCTGTCTCTCTCTCACTGTCCACTCTGCCTGTCAAAAAAAAAAAAAAAAAAAAAAGAAAGGTGCCGCTTCTGATATTTGTGTGTCTTGTTACCAAACTGACCTTTTACCACTGTGCTGGATGATTTTCAAACAAAATACTTGCTGTTAACGCACACCCTGCGAGGCAGCAAGTGATGACTCAAGTACTTGGGTCCCCAGCACCTATGTGGGAGACCCACATGGAGTTCCTAGTCCTGGTTTCTCCCTTGCCTAGCCCTAGCTGTTGTGAGCTGTTGGGGAGTGAACCAATGAATGGAAAAACAGAACTTGCTCTTGCTCTCACTCTCACTCTAGCTCTCACTCTGCCTTTCAAATAAATTTTTAAAAGGATAAAATTTTCTACTGGCAGCTTTCCAACGCCCCCTCCTAAACACTACTCACTCCCTGCTCAACACTGACCTCTATTGCAATCCCTTATACCATGGGTTGAATATTTTTGTTCATTCATTCTTTTATTTTAACAGCTTTATTAAGATATAGCTCACATACAATTTGCCTATTCAAAGTTTACAATTCTGTGGCATTTAGTATATTCACAAAGTTGGGTAACCATCACCTCTTTCTAATTCCAAAACACTTTCATTACCCCACAAAGAGACCCTCCACATCCCTTAGCTAGTATTCCCCCGCCCCCTAATCCTAAGCATGTACTGATTTGTTTTTAGTCTTCCTTGGTTCTCTAAGTAGACATTTCATGTGCTCTTTTGCAGCTGGCTGCTTTTACTCATCATGGTGTCTTCAAGGCTCATCCACTGTGAGCCTAGGTGGGTGTGCTTGTGTACACAGTTGGTTTATCTGTTCATTTCAGAGCTCCTGGGTTGCTTTCTCTTTTAAACTGTTGGACTGATGCTGCTGTGAACATTGTTTGACAGTTTTCCGGACCTAGGTTTTTGTTTCTTTTATATGTGCATCTAAGTGCAGAATTGTTTGCCCTGGTAACACAATTTTTTTTAAAGATTTATTTATTTGAAAGAGTTACACAGAGAAGAGAGGCAGAGAGAGAGATCTTCCATCTGCTGGTTCACTCCCCAATTGGCCACTACAGCCAGAGCTGCGCCGAACCAAGTCAGCAGCCAGGAGCTTCTCCGGGTCTCCCACACGGGTGCAAGGACCCAAGCTCTTGGGCCATCTTCAGCTGCTATCCCAGGACACAGCAGAGAGCTGGATTGGAAGAGGAGCAGCCGGGACTAGAACCGGTGCCCATGTGGGATGCTGGGGCTTTGGGCCAGGACATTAACCCGCTGCGCCACAGCGCCAACCCTGGTAACACTTTTTTTTTTTTTTTTTTTTTTGACAGGCAGAGTGGACAGTGAGAGAGAGAGAGACAAAGGTCTTCCTTTTCCGTTGGTTCACCCTCCAATGGCCACTGTGGCCGGTGCACCACGCTGATCCGAAGCCAGGAGCCAGGAGCTTCCTCCTGGTCTCCCATGCGGGTGCAGGGCCTGAGCACTTGGGCCATCTTCCACTGCACTCCCGGGCCACAGCAGAGAGCTGGCCTGGAAGAGGGGCAACCGGGACAGAATCCAGCGTCCCTACCAGGACTAGAACCCGGTGTGCCGGCGCCGCAAGGCAGAGGATTAGCCTAGTGAGCTACGGCGCCGGCCGGTAACACTATTTTTAAACTTGGGAGAAACTGCCAGACTGGTCTTCAAATGACTACCCCGTTTTACATTCTCAGTACTAAAGATGTCAGCTTCTCTATTTTCTGGCCAGCGGTTGTTATTATCTGGCTTTTTTATTGTAGCCATCCTAGTGGGAGTGAGTAGTATCTTATTATTGATTTGATTTGCATTATAAGAATTCTTTATATATTCTGGATTCAAGCTGCGTATCAGTTTTTAATTTTGCTTACGTGCATTTTACCTGTTGTTTTTTGCTTGTGCTGTAAGTGTTAAACCATTGCTAATCCAGGTATCACGAAGATTTACACCTGTTTTTTTTTTTTTAAGATTTATTCATTTATTTGAAAGGCAAATTTACAGAGAAGGATAGGCAGAAGCAAAGAGAAATCTTCCATCTGCTGATTCACTCCCTAAATGGCTGCAGTGGCCAGGACTGGGCCATACCAAAGCCAGGAGCCATGAGCTTCATCATGGTCTCCCACATGGGTGCAAGGGCCCAAGTATTTGGACCATCTTCCACTGCTTTCCCAGGCACATTAGCAGGAGCTGGATAGGAAGTGAGGAAGCTGGGACTTGGACAAGCACCCATATGGAATATTGGCATTGCACATGGCAGCTTAACCCGCTATTCCACAGCACTTAGGGTCTATACCTGTACTTTTACATTTATTGTATAACATGAGGTTGAACTTAACATATTTTACAATAAAGAGAATTTTCTGCTCAAAAAACTCACTAGTACAGTTTGTCATGTGTAGCAAAGATATACACTTTGTAATTCAGGCTTTAGAACAGTTTTCAGAAAATTTGTGATGGTTGTAATAGCTGCCTTCTGCTGAATGGAATTAATGCTTAGATTATTCAGTGACCCTCACTTCAATCCCATGAAGTAGTAACAGCGTTTCCATTTTGAATTGGAGAAAATGGAAGTGTAGAGGGTTAAAGTGATTGGTTCAGGGTGGCACTACCTGTTTCAGAACCCATGTCTGGTTTTGTTTGTTTTTTTTGTTTGTTTGTTTGTTTGTTTTTTGACAGGCAGAGTGGATAGTGAGAGAGAGAGACAAAGAGAAAGGTCTTCCTTTGCCGTTGGTTCACCCTCCAATGGCCGCCGTGGCCAGCGCACCGCGCTGATCCGATGGCAGGAGCCAGGTACTTCTGGTCTCCCATGGGGTGCAGGGCCCAAGCACTTGGGCCATCCTCCACTGCACTCCTGGGCCACAGCAGAGAGCTGGCCTGGAAGAGGGGCAACCAGGACAGAATCCGGCGCCCCAACCGGGACTAGAACCCAGTGTGCCGGCGCCGCAAGGCGGAGGATTAGCCTAGTGAGCCAGGGCGCCGGCCCCATGTCTGTTTGATTCCACAGACTGTGAGTTCTCAGTGCTGATCATTTGAATTTTGTTTTGTTCTTTTTTTATATGAAGTGTTAAACAGCTTGATTTCCCTGTGTTGAACCAACCTTGCATTCCTGGGATAAACCCCATGTAGTCATGGTTTCAGTACTTTATGTACTGATGGACTCAGTATACTGTTGTTTTACTGAGGATATATTGCATTTATATCCATAAGGGATATTGGTCTGTAGTTTTCTTTTGATGTCTTCATCTGGTTTTGGTATCAGGAATTATTGGCCTCATAGAGTAACTTAGGAGGTGTTTGTCCCTTTTATTTTTTAGAATAGTTTATAAAATGCTTTTTTTTTTTTTAAAGTGTATTTTGAAAGAATTGCAGAGGGAGAGAGAAAGAGAGATCTTCTATCTACCAGCTCACTCCCCAGATGGCTGCAATGGCCAGCAATGGGCCAAGCCAAAGGCAGGAGCTTCATCCAGGTCTCTCATGTGGATGTCAGGGGCCCAAACATTTTGGGCCATCTTTTAATGTTTTTCCCAGTCCATTAGCAGGGAGTTGGATCAGAAGTGGAGCAACCAGGATATGAACAGCTGCCCAAGTGGGATGCTGAAGACTCAGGCTATGGCTTTTCCATCTACACCACAATGCCAGCCTCCTGAAATACTTTTAATGGAGGAAAAATAAATGACACCCACTTCAGGTACTCACATGACCACTCAGCACCTAAACCTTGCCTTTAGTGGATGCTGACCTAATTCTAGTAATAGTGATGGGCTCTTGGCAACCCCATCACATTGAGGCTGGGAAGTTACCAAGACCTTTTCAGAAGTTCGGATCCCTGACGTTTTCATGCAGTGTTGGTTTTGTTTGTCATCTCCTGCCATGTTTTGAGAGCTTTTCACTGGCACTGTTCACAGCTGGCTTTGGAAGCAGTGGAAAATACTCAAAACATCATCTGTAGAAAGTTACTTTGGGACCTTTTAACTTTATTCTTCTTGGGCATCGAGTAAAGCACAACCTCTTTTCCACCATAACATTTTCCCTCAAGTTTACATTCATTGAATTTTTAAAGTAAATGTCTGAACTGTGTCACACTACTGAGGTTGTGGAGATCATAACTGAAAATTCCTTTGATTTTTTTTTACCTTGAATTTTGACGTCATAAACAAGTATTTCAAGATTGTATTTGGGGGGAGCATCCTGAAGCAGTATCTCACTGATCCCTTTGTCATCGGGGTCCGTACTGCACAGGTTTATCATTCAGGGCCACCCTGAAACCAAGAGGCATGGCCCTCCGGCCAGCACTGGGCATTTTTGTGAACGCCCTTGTCACCCATCCCACTTCTTGCCTGCAGGTACCACGATCACAGACCTCTCGGCCGGAATCTCCAGGGATGACCAGCCCCTCCCCGCGCATCCAGATCATCTCCACCGACTCCACGGTAGCCTCTCCTCAGCGCATTCAGGTACCTGCACCCAGCCCCTGGTTGCAGCCAGCGGCCAGAGGCAGCCCTGCCTTCTCCAGTTTCCTCCCAGAACCAAACCTGCCAAAGGGTCACTGAGGAGCTGAGCCTCGTGGCGTCAGATGCAGCGCAACCTCGTTTCTTTAAAAAGCTTTTCTAAGTTTACTTTCACTTAACTTTTAAAGCACACTTCTGAACTGTTGTTTCAACCTATGGAGATGCAGTGCCATCTTACTACTTACTTGCTTCCAATATGAGAGGCAGTATCGTCGCGTGGTTCAGAGCAAGGGCTCCGACTGGAAGTCACATCCAGTGCTCCACTGAATAGCTTTTTGACCCTGTGCAATTACCTTATCAATGCTTAAGTGTTTTCATTAGAAAATGTCAGTAACAGTAGTGTGGTGGAGACCTCCCAAGGTCAGACAGAAAGAAACTTACCCTGAAAATGGAATGCGGCCATTATCTGCTTGCCGGTGCGTGCATCAACCCTGGTTATTATGTGCTTATATGGATTATTGTGCCAGCGTGATAAATTAAGACTGTTCCTGGCCATCGTGTCTCATCTCTGTTCACGAATCCCTGTACAATAGCACTTATCTCATAGGCTTTTTGAGAAATCAAAGAGATACGGCTTTTAAAAGGCTGACGATATCCCCTGGCACATAATAGTGTGCTCTGTGTGCTAGTTAATACAAAAGAGGTTTCTTCAAAAAGTTCGTGGAAAGGCAGCATTTGAGCAGTGAAGACTTCGGTCAGGATGCCTGGGTCTACACTGAGTTCCTGAGTCCATCTCTCGGTTCAAGCTTCTGATTCCAGCTTCTTGCTAGTGCATACCCTGGGATGCAGTGGTCCCTGGGAAGATGTGGGTTGAGTTACTGGCGTTAGCTGGGGCCTCTCACTCCATTTTTGTCTGTCTGTTGCTGTCTCTCACATAAATTTTTTTTAGAGTTTGTAGAAAAGGAATTTCAAGATTTTGAAATTCATACATCAGGCAGCTGGATCAGAAGCAGAGTGGCTGGCACTTGAACCAGCATTCCAGTATGGGATGCAGGTGTTCAGATGGTGGCTTAACTCACTGTACCATGCCTGTTCCCCCCAACCCTGTGAACTGTTTAATTTTTTTTTTTATTTGTTTGGTTGAAAGACTGAGACACAGACAGAGATGGATTTTCTTTGAGTCAGTAATAGGCCTGGGAGAAGAATAAGTTCTCTGCTGTTTTAGTGAATAACAGTGGTTGGGCCCCAAGTAGTGGTTTCTCCAATAAAGCTGAAAAGGGAGGATTATTTTCGAAAGGATGACAGGCTGGGCAGTATTCAGGAGCATTGGTTCTGAGTGGAACAGACCTAAGATCACATCTTGTCTCTACTCAGATACGTGACCCATGGAAAGTTTACCTAATTTCTGTAGTTGTAATTTGGTGGCAATAATAGCACCTATTTTGTAGGACTATAAAAGAATTAAATTAGATAATACTGTAAGCCTATAGGAAGCGAACCTCAATAATTGTTAGCAACTGTGTTAATGGTTTGTTAACGTTTTCTTCTTACATAGTTTCACACTTAGAGAAAATAGTGCATGGAAATCCCTTGTAGCCATTGTGCAGAGGCAGCAGTTGCTTGCTGTCACATTCTGAATGCTTGGATGTTATTTTTCTCTGAGTTGTGTGAGGGCAGATTGGAACCATTACCGCTGTGCACTGGACGTGCATGCGTTTCCTGAGAAGAAGAGCTTTCTCTCACACGGTTACCAGAGTCAGGAGATGTTGAATAAGCCGCTTTTTAGTCCGTGGTCTGTAACCTAAGATTTCTTCAGTTGTTCCAGTAAAGCCCTTCATAGCACTGTTTTCCATTCCAGAATTTACGTACTGTTTTAAATCACGATAATAATAATAATGAGAATTAAGGTGCCAGTGAAGCCAAGACCACCATAACAGGTTCTGCAGGCCGGTGGGGGAGGATCTGAAGCAGACCCTGTGTCCATTGGTCTCCTACCATCCTAACGGCTGCAATGACTGTGGATTGGAAGAGTGACCGTCTCCAGAGTAGGGAAGGTAGCCTTGTGCCAGGTTTCCGAGCTGTTATTTTCTGGAGTTCAAAGGAGGTGAGGCAGGAACTATGGGAGATGAGGCAGACAGGAAACACTAGGTTCAAGTTTTATGTTTCACTCTTTTTTTTTTTTTTAAGATTTATTTATTTATTTGAAAGAGTTACACAGAGAAAAAGAGAGAGGCAGAGAGCGAGGTCTTCCATCTGTTGGTTCACTCCCCAATTAGCTGCAACAGCTGGAGCTGCGCCTATCTGAAGCCAGGAGCCAGGAGCTCCTCCAGGTCTCCCACACAGGTGCAGGGGCCCAAGCATGTGGGTCATCTTCTACTGCTTTCCCAAGGCCATAGCAGAGAGCTGGATGGGAAACAGAGCAGCTGGGACTCGAACTGGTGCCTATATGGGATGCTGACACTTTAGTCTAACTTTGAAAAAGCCTCTCATTTGTTAAGTTTTACATGCTAGAGTTTATGAGTGTGCTCACTTGGACTGCTGTATTTGCTGTGCTTGAGGTAGACCTGGGTGTAGTTAGTCTTGGCGTCTTTGTGGAGGTTTCCTGAGATAGTCCTCCATACTCTCCCATTTCAAGTTTAGTTTTCAGGAGAGCATCATCATACTCAGGGTCTCACTTTATAGTAAATGTTTAAATCTGAGCTTATAAGATACATTTATATATAATAAAGTAGTTTTTTATATATTGAGGTTTCACATAAAGATGTTACTAGAAAGAACTCGTGTAGTTTACATGGTTTTTAAGTTTGAAATCTTCATTACGATTCCCAGCGGAAGGCCTCTTGAACTCTTGGAGCCTCTCTCCCTCCTCTTTGCCTGGCACGTCTTTCTTGAGCTGCTTGTCCTGTGCCCTTTTCCCGTCCACACCCGTCTGCTGTTTGCTTTCTCACTCCAGTGTTCCAGTCCCGCCTCCCTGTACTCAGAGGAATAGTGGCTTCTCTGAGTGTGTTGTAGAGGTAGTGCATGTGTGCTGGAGCACTCCCAGCACACAGGGTGCAGGGTGAGAAAAAGTCTCCTCCTCTCTGGACAGGCACTGCAGTCCCTCCCAGGAGCTGGCCACTGTCACCACATTGCATGTAAGTCCACAAGCACAGTGCAGACATCTGCGCCCGAGCTTCACACGAGTGTTGTGGGCCCTCTGTGCCTGCTGTTTGGCCCCTTGCTCTTTTTTTGTGACAGTGTCTTACGGAGATGGTTCCCTGCAGCACAAAGTAGAACTTCCTCTTTCTCTTGAGAAACTATTTGATAAGCCATTTTGCCACGCTGTACTTCAGAGAGGTTATGGAAATTTATGTTCCCAGCCACGTACTCAACTGCATATTATGCTGTTGTTTGAATCTTTGTCAGTTTGTAGGTGAAGTGGTATATTTGCTTTTCTATGAATTTGGCATTTATAATATCTACCCATATATAAATATCTATAATTAATGATTCTGGTATTGAGTATCCAGGTCAATATTAAAATTTTATGCAAATATAAATGAATGTTCCCTTTTCCCTACCCTTCCCAGTATCCTTACCTCATTTAATTTTCAACTAAGAGGCTTTTTGAAACGAATTTTTTAAAATTCTTGCTATATTTAAATACACTCTTTGACCCAGGGGTAAAGGTAACTAGAGAGCCTGCCAGCCTTTTTAGAACAACTGCTTTGAAATGCTCTTTATCAGTCAGCTGGCTGTGCGTCTGTTTCATAGGAGAGAGAGACCATGTTAACGTTTGAACTTAGAGACACTGCTTATAAAATAGGGAATAATGATTGGCTCACCTGGGGAGTATCACTGTAGTCCTTTGCTAACTCGGAAGGGCTGGAGTTCCTCAGGGTCTGTCCAGTTGAGCCCAGGGCTGTAAATGTCATTATGACATTTAAAGTGACTCCCAAATGCACCTCTGTGGCCTGGACTTTAGTTTGGAATTTTTTTAAGTCTCATTAAATCATGTTTTATTCCAAAGTATATTGTTTAATTTCCAGATATTTGAGGATTTTCTAGCTATCCTTAGTTATCTATTATTAAATTCCTCTTTAATTCCATTGAGGTCTAAAACATACTGTGTGTTCTTGATTTCTACTTTACAACATTTGGTCAGATCTGTTTTATGGCCCATAATATGGTCTGTGTTGGTGGCTGGTCCAGGCAGGTTTCTAAAGCAGTATATTCTGTTGTTAGATGGATTCTTTTTTTTTTTTTTTTTTTAAGATTTATTTATTTACTTGAAATTCAGAATCACACAGAAAGAGGAGAGGCAGAGAGAGAGATCTTCCATCCGCTGCTTCACTGCCCAGATGGCCACAATGACCAGAGCTGTGCCGATCAGGAGCCAGGAGCTTTTTCTGGGTCTCCCATGCGGGTACAAGGGCCCAAGGACTTGGGCCATCTTCTACTGCTTTCCCAAGACATAGCAGAGAGCTGGATAGGAAGTGGAGCGCCAGGACTCAAACCGGCGCCCATGTGGGATTCTGGCACTGCAGGCAGCAGCTTTACCCGCTACACCACAGTGCTAGCCCCGGTAGATGGATTCTTTTATAAATGTTAGTTGGATCAAGTTGATTGATAGGACTGTTCCGGTCAGCCTTCCTGACTTTGCTGCCAGCTTGATATGTCCGTCACCCACAGGGAAACACGGACCCCTCAACTAAAGCTGCTGATTGCTGAGTTTCTCCTGAAGTTTTATTGGGTCTTCCTGACTTACCTTGATACTTGTTCTTAGGCGCATACACTTGCAGGATTGTTATGTTCTTTGGGAAAACTGACTTTTTTCTAACGATATAACGCCTCTCTATATGCCTGATATTTTCTGTGTTCTGAAGTCTGCTTATAATCTGAAATGAATGTAGTTATTTTAGCTTTATTTGACAAATGTTAGCATGATATGTCTTTCTCCATCCTTTTAATCTGTGTCTTTATATGTAAAATGAACTTCCCATAGACAATGTAAAGATAGGTCTTGGGTTTGTTTTCCCAGCTCTTCTCCCAGTAGTGTGTGTAAACCATTCACATTTAAAGTATGTGATAATTAATATATTTGGATTAATATCACCCATCTGTATAACTTTTCTATTCAGTGTAGGAAGCTTCTTTTTTTCCCCTTTTTTTTAAGATTTATTTTTATTTTTTTGAAAGGCAGAGTTCTAGGAGGGTTGGGGAGATAAGGAGAGAGAGAAAGAAAGAGAGATCTTCCTTCCTCTGATTCACTCCCCAGATGGCCACAACAGCCAGGACTAGGCCAGGCCAAAGCCAGGAGCCAGGAGCTTCTTCCAGGTCTCCCACATGGGTGCAAGGGACCCAAGGACTTGGGCCATTTTATGCTTTCCCAGGCACATTAGCAGGGAGCTGGATCAGAAATAGACCAACTAGACAAAACTGGCGCCAATAAGGGATGCTGGCACGGCAGGCAGCGGCTTAATCCACTGTGCCACAACACTGGCCCCTCTTCCCTATCACTGCTGTTAGCATATCCATGCAATTCTTTTTTAACCTGGTTTTTTTTTTTTTTAAGATTATTTATTTATTTATTTGACAGAGTTACAGACTGTGAAAGAGAGAGACAGAGAGAAAGGTCTTCCTTCCTTTGGTTCACTCCCCAAATGGCCGTTACAACCGGTGCTGCGCCAATCTGAAGCCAGGAGGCAGGTGCTTCCTCCTGGTCTCCCATGTGGGTGCAGGGGCCCAAGCACCTGGGCCGTCCTCCACTGCCTTCGTAGTTCACAGCAGAGAGCTGGACTGGAAGAGGAGCAACCGGGACTAGAACCCAGAGCTTATATGGGATGCCGGCGCTGCAGGCAGAGGATCAACCTAGTGCGCCACAGCGCCAGCCCCTTAACCTGTTTTTAATTGTTGTCCTAGAGCTCGTGTGTCAGAGCCAGTGTAACCAAAGGCACCGTGAGGTTTCATGTGTAGTGCAGGTTGCTTGCAACAGAGTTGTCCGGGTCCCTCCTCCCCCTTTGTGACTTTGCTGTCATTCCTTTCGCTTACCCATTTGCTGTAATCACTGAACCGGCTCTCATATGGAATGCCAGTACTGCCCACTGCACCACAGTGCCAGCCTCACTATTATTCATTTGAACAGTTATGTTTAGATCAGTTGAGAATAAGAAAAGCATTCATTTTCCCTCAGTTATTTATGTAGATCCAGGCTTCTAACACAATGTTTTTCCTTCTACCCGAAGGCTTCTCTCCCAGTAATCGATAAGTGTGTCGGTGATTAATTCCTTTAGTGTTTGTCTGAGAAGGTTTTTCTTTTCCTTCACTTTTTTGTTACTGGGTTTTTAAATTATTATTATTTAAATGCATGTATGCATTTTAAATGCAAAGTGACAGAGATCTGTCATCCTCTGGTTCACTCCCCCAAATGACTGCAAAGCCAGGTCTGGGCCAGGCTGACAGAGGAGCCGAGAACTCCATCCTGGTCTCACAGGGATTGCAGGGGCATCTTAGGCCTTCCCAGGTTGCTAACGGGAAGCTGGATCAGAAACGGAGCAGCTGGAACTCAGACCAGCACTCCACTAAGGAAAGCTGGGCCACTGTGGGGAGCAGGGCCTGTCTCCCGCAACATGGCGAAATAAGTACTGAGACTACCGAGACCAGACTAGACCAGAGACTATTAAGACTCACTCTATGCATCTGATCTCCCATCATATGGCGCTGAGAGAGAGTAAACAAATCTTACACAGCTGCTTCGTCAATTAGCTGATTCCTTACCCAACCCCTTAAAAGAGGGAGAGGGACAACATGCACGGCGGCCCCCTGAGAGAGTCGGTCGGAGAGCTCGCAGTGCTGCTCCGTGAAAGCGGAGGCGGGGGAGCGGCAGCAAATCTGGGAAGGGCCGGGGAAAGAGAACAGCGCAGGGTCCGGTGCCGCTCCTCCGCGAGTGGGGGAGCGACATACCACAATACTATTCCCTATCCCAAAAACATTTTTTTCATTGAACTTCATGTAATATGAAGCTACTTTAGGTAGATGCTTGGCACAGCAGTTAAATCACTACTTGGGACACCTGCATCTCATTATCGGATCTTCCTTCCTACAAATGCATTCTGGGAGCCAGTAGATGATGGTGGCCACATGTGAGAGCTACATAAAGTTTTCAGCTCCTGACTCTGGCCTGGCCCAGCTGTGGCTCTGTTACAGGCATTTGAGGAATGAACCAGAAGAAGGAAAATCCCTCTCTATCTTCAAATAAAATGAAATTAAAATTTTTCAAATGTTTTTGATTCTGAGATTTATTTAACTGAAAGGCAGAGTGACACAGAAGGAGAGACAGAGAGTGTTCAATCCACTGGTTCACTCCCCGGATGCCTTCAACAGCTGAGGCTGAGCCAGGCTGAAATCAGGAGCCTGCAGCTCAATCCAGATCTCTAAGGCTGGCAGAGGCCCCAGCACTGGCGCCGGAGCTGCTGCTTGCTAAAGGCTACATTACCAGGAAGCTGGACTGGAAGTGGAGCCAGCACTGCAGTGTGGGATGGAGGCATCCAAGTGGCACCTCGTCTGCTGTACAAAACACACACCATTGCCATTTTATTTTGAATCAGCCAACCTTACGTGACTTTCAGTATTGGGAAGTTAACAAAGCTAATGTGTTAGACCATGTGATTGTTGTTCGGACCTTAGAGTCCCCTTTCACAAAGTCTGTCGAAACGTGGTGCCAGTACTTTGCCTGCCTGTACAGGCACTAGGGGACCAAGTTCAGGCAGAAGCTCAGCCCATCTCTGCCCACCCAGTCCCAGCACTGCCAGTCCCAAGAGTCCTGCTTGCTGCAAGGGAGGCAGAGAGTGCTGCAAGGGCTGCTGGGAGACTGGGAGAGAGACAGGGTGGGGACTAGAACAGCCTCCGAGAGCTTCCACGGGCACCAGCAAGAGAGATCGGTCTCTTTTATAGTTACTGATGCAGTTAGGCAGAGACAGAGGGCGCCGGTGAGCTCTGGCAGCGGTGGCTCCAGAAAGGTGGGAGCCCCCAGAGGAGTCAGGGCGGGACTTCTCCAGAATCCGTGCCTGCTGCCTGCAGTCATCCCACAGCCTTTGTGGTCTTCTCTCCATGTGCTAGGCCCTGTACTGGCCCTGGGGATGTAGCAGTGACACAAATGTGGCCTCTGTCCTTAAAGACCTTGGGTCAGGGAGTGGAGTGGATTAGGTAGGCGGTCAGTGGATGGTGAGTTCAGCGTGTGTCTGCAGGGGGCTCCCCATATTCTGTCAGCCCTGAGGCAAGGTTTTTCACCTCAGAAACAGCCCTTCTTGAAAGTGATCATTTCCACATTTTTAGATTTTATAGATCAGTAGCATTTCAAAAGGGTTAGGTATTTTAATATATATACAGATTTATTTATTTGAAAGATTTGTGTTACTTGTTTATTTACAGAGATAGAGAGGGAAAGACAGAATCTTCCATCCGCTGGTTCACTCCCCAAATGGCCACAATGGCCAGGGCTGGGCCAGGCCGAAAGCAGGAGCCTGGAACTTCATCCTGGTCTCCCACATGGTTGGCAGGGACCCAAGCACTTGGGCCATCTTCTGCTGCCTTCCCAGATCATTAGCGGGGAGCTGGAGCAGAAGTGGAACAGCCAGGACATGAATAGGTGCCCAGATGGGATGCCAGCATCACAGGCTGCAGTTTAATCCACTGTGCCACAATGCCAGCCCAAAGATATAATCAGAGGATAACACTGGCCATATGAAAAGTTGTTTCTGCAAAGTTCACTCTTGTTTTACTTTTCTCATGTCACCGTGAACTGATGAGATTGCATCTTGGACCAGCACTGACTGAGGCACCAGCATCTGGCATTGACTACTTTTGGGTACCACCTGCGAGTCCCTGGCTCCCAAAATGCTCCATGAGAGTGGCCTCCATATTGTGTCTTGTAGATTGTGACTGACCAGCAGACAGGACAGAAGATACAGATAGTCACAGCTGTGGACGCCTCCGGATCCCCCAAACAGCAGTTCATTCTGACCGGTCCAGATGGGGCTGGAACCGGGAAGGTGATCCTGGCTTCTCCAGAGACAACCAGCGCCAAGCAGCTCATATTCACCACCTCAGACAACCTTGTCCCTGGCAGGATCCAGGTAAGGCCTGGGGCAGCTGTGTGTCTCAGCACTTCTGCTACTGAACTTGCTGACCTGTTCTGGCCTTTGCCTTCAAGGGCCAATTCCATCTCTAGAACATCTTTCTGAGACTTGAAAACATGGCAGGTTGCTGCTTGTCCAAAGCTTTAAAAAAAAAAATACCAGCAAAAAGTGGCAAGGTCCAGAAGACAGTGAACTTACAACACTTAAGAGGGAATGGAGATTGAGCCAGGAAAAGTCAGTGGCCAACTAGAGAGTGGTGTGAGCAAGCTGGCACTGAAGCCCTTAAAGAACAGGTCTTAGCTATGGCTACAGTGGGGCAGCCATTGGCCCATGGTATCCCAAAGGTATCAGCCAGGGCTACCCACAGCGGGTGAGAACCAGTGTGTTCCTAGCTCTGATTCTGTTCAGATCGCCAGACCTGGTCCTCGCCTTTCCTTCAGTCCTTGCTGTGAACTGCTGGCTCTGGGCCCCTCCGTTCTTGTCTCCATCTCTGCCCTGCTTCTCCCTACCCTAGCAAGGGAGAATGGAGCTGGGGACTGGCTGCAGGACGAGCAGGAGAGCTGACACTGGCAGAACATCTGGGATTGGGAGCACTGACTTCCGAAACCCAGCACGCTGAGAGCAGACTCAGGCCCTGTCCCATAGTGGACACACATGTCTAGTCAGGGTCATGCTAGGGTCCTTGTGTGTGTGTTTCTAAATGTGTATTACGTTTTAATTTATGGTACAGTGCACCTGGCATTTATCTTCCTAATCATTTTTAGGCACACCGTTTAGTGGCGCTCAGTGCATCCACATTATTGTGACTCTTCACCTTCTTGAGCCCAAACTGTCCTCACTGAACAGTGGCTTTCCACCCCTCCCCTCCCCTGGTAACCACCATTCCACTTTCTGTCTCTATAGTTGGACTCTTCTGAGTACATCATTTAAGTGGAGTCATGCAGTATTTGTTGTTTGGTGACTGTTTACTTAAAATAATGTGTTTAAGATTCACCCGTTTTTAGGGTGTGTCGATTTATTTATTTTTTTAAGGTTTCTAATGAATGTATGAGCTACAGTTTGTGCACTTATTGATGGATATGTGGATTACTTCCACCTTCTGGATATTGCAGATAATGTTGCTATTATCTATTAAGGAAAAACGTGGGGAAGGAAAGAAATTTTTTTTGAGGTAGTTCAGAACACGAGCAATCACCTTTCACAGCTGGACTTTGTGAGGACGGGCCTGTGGTGCATGATTTAAGCCACTGCTTGGAACACTCACATCCTAGTGGGAGTACAGCTTGAGTCCTGGCTGTTCTACTTCCAGTCCAGCTTCCTGCTAATGGGCCTGGGAGGCAGTGGATGATCACCCAAGGGGCACCTGCTAGCCACATGGAAAACCCAGATGGAATTCCTAGCTCCGGGCTTTGGCCTGGCCCAGCCCCAGTTTTTATGAATCACAAATTCATTCATTCATTCATTCAATTATTCATTCATTCATTCTCTCCCCCTCCCCCTCTCCCTCTCTCTCTCTCTCTCTTTCTCTTTCTTTCTCTCTTTCTCATTCCTGCTCACTCACTCTCTCTCTCTCTGTCTCTCTCATGTACACACACAGTCTGCCTTTCAAGTAGATGGAAGTAAGTAAACAATTTTTAAAAAGAACTGTACTTTTTTTTAAGATTTATTTATGTGAAAGAGTGAGAAAGAGATCTTCCATCTGCTGGTTCACTCCCCAAATGGAGGCACTGGCCAGGGCTGGGCCACGCAGAAGCTCGGAGCTCAGAGTGTCATCAGGTCTTCTGTGTTACAGGGGTGAGAGGGGCCCAAGAACCCGGCCATCTTCCACTGCCTCTGAGGCGCGCCAGTGGGGAGCTGGGTCATAAGTGGAACTCCCTGCAATGGTGCTCTGAAACCAGCATCACACGCGGGGGCTTAACCCCCTGTGCCACAACCCCCGTCACAGAAGAACTGTGCTTCTGAGCCACCGTATATCATAGTCGTTAATGCAGCTCATCCTTCCTTCCTCACAGCACATCCCGATCATCTCAGATCTTGTGTTTCACGAGGGGATTCGGTGTTAATTCTGTATGTGTTCATAGATCACCTTAAATATTATGACTGGTCCAAGGTGAAGTCCGTTTTTTAATAACAGCTGTTTTTCACTTTCTCGTGTAGATGTTAGTTACAGGACTCCCCCAGGGGAGCACTGCTCTTCCACCTGGAGGGTCCCCTCAGCTTTCAGTCCTGCTACCACCAGCGCCTCCAGGAGGGACCCAGTTATTTAATGAAGAAAGCTGGTTCTCTCTCTGACAAGAGCGCCCTGCATGCTTGCAGGCTGTTGAGTGGGGCTAGAGAGGCAGTCAGAAGGATCTTAAATATTTCCAGTTGAGGACATCTCTGTGTGGTTCCTCACAGGGCCCCCAGTCCCAGGGGAGGTGCAGTCCATGAGGGACACAGGCCATCTGGGTATCAGGTGGAACTGCCCCAGTTCTGCCCCGAGTTCTCCTGCTTAGGAACTCAAGATTAGGGATTTATAGTTAAACGTTACTCTGCTTCGTGATCTCTTAGATCGTCACGGATTCTGCTTCTGTGGAGCGATTGCTGGGCAAGGCGGACGTGCAGCGGCCCCAGGTGGTGGAGTACTGTGTGGTCTGCGGCGACAAAGCCTCTGGTGTGTGAGCCACTCTGCTGGGTGCATGTCGTGGACCAACAGCAAGAACCCGCTGTTGTGGGAGGGCCCGGGGCTCACCTAGAAAGAATATTTTCTGTAGGGTAAAACGAACTCTGCTTTTCATATTTGGGTCATAATATAAATAAGCAAAATGGTTTCTCAGGTTATTAGATTCAAAGAAAACATCAAGAAACGGAAGTCATCGTTTCTGTAACCTAGTTACTGTCTGTAGTGGTTTGCTGCTTCCCCTGTCATCCCGTGGCTCATGTGAGAAACCGCTGCGGGGGAGGAGAGGGCAGCTGATGCTGGCTACAGCGGCAGGCCTCCGGCCGAGTGCTTGTTGAGTGAGACAGAAGGACACAGGGCTAGTGGGGCCAGGACCCAGGAGTTTAATGTGTGTGCACCTGGTAGCTTTGGGAAGAGTGCGTGAGCTTCCCTAGTTAGATCTAGCATGTGGGTAAAGAGAGAGTGGAGAAGATTCTTAGTCCAGAAGGTCAGACTTCGGCATGCTAGCCCTAGGGAGCCATAGAAGGTGAGACAGGCAGTAGGGGTGGACAAGCATTTGTTAAGGACACAGTTCCAGTGATGCCGGGGGTACAGACCTGAGTTCGGTGGCTGCTTGATTTCACTTTATTCTGTGGTCAGAAAATTCACAGGAAATTTTGTTGTCCTGAGGTGTGTGTGTTGGGAGAGGTTACACATTACTGTTTTCTCCAGGAACTTGAACCACACTTCTTAGGAAGACTGTGCCAGACAGGCATCAAGAGATCAGAAGCTCAAGTCCCTCCAAACTAGTGACATCTTTTCTCTGCCAGTGGTGCCTGCCTCTGCTCCTGCCCGCCCCTTTGTCCTGATGAACCGAGCCCGTCCCAGGGCTTCTCTGAAACTCAGCTACCCCACGGCGCAGGTGGACAGTGCTGCCTCTGTGCAGGCTGCTCTGCAGGCACTGGCTGCGTGTTACGCTTCAGTCTCCACGGGCCCGACGTCCCCCAGCAGTGTCAGGAAAGACCGTGTTCTCCCAGCTCTCTCCCCAGCCTCCTCTGCATCTCTGCCTTCCTGCTCAGCAGGGAGAGGCCTGTGTGAACGTGAGAGCCTATGAGCGAAGCCTGAACAGAACAGAAAGGCCAGAATCCGCCTGGGTTTCCTGTGTGTCGGTCCCCTTCTGAGCTGAAGGAGAGTCCCGGCATGGCTGTCAGTGCCATTGTTTCCATGGTAGAGTCACTCAGAGAGCTCAGTCGTACCATGAGGAAAGGAAACCAATGCAAAGAGGGGGACTTGTAGCACAGGTAGTCTAAGGAGAGCCAAGTTGAGACACAGTTGCACACCTGGGAAATGGTTCCACACATTAGAGGTTGCCGCAGTAGGATCTCCTGTAGCCCCCTGAAATGACAGTCCTGTGTCCTCCCCCGCTGTGGAATTCCAGATGCTTAGTCAACATTAGTCAGCTGGGAGCAGTGCAGTGTGATGTGTGTGAACTACGAAGCACAGACTGCTGTTGGAGTGCTCCTTATGTCACTGATCAGAGACTAGAAAAGCAAACTGCTGTGTTCTTGGAAGGGGCCGAGGAACTAACCCATGTGAGCCACAGGTGCCCTTCCTTTACCTCGAACCTTCACAGTCACCATTCAGCTGCCCCCAGGGTCTAGGATGAGTCAGTGAGATGGAGAGATGCAGGAGTGAGACCCTGTGTACTAAGGCAGCGTGTGCAGGTGTGTGCCACGTCTCTCCTTGTAAGATGGGTGACTGAGCAGCATCCCAGGTCCAGGTCTGAGGAGTAGGCCGGCTGGGCACAGGCAGACAGTGGGATTCATCCCTCACCTAGTAGCTCGGTCCTTTGTGTGCTAAGAGCACTGAGGTCACGCTGGTTACTGGCTGTTGTGTGTCACGGGAGCATTTTGACCTCATAAACCTACTTGAAAGACTGTAGAGAGGGGCTGGCACTGTGGTGCGGTGGGTTGAGCCGCTACCTGCCGTGCCAGCCTTCCATCTGAGCGCTTGTTTGGGTTGCAGGTGTTCCATTTCTGATCCAGCTCCCTGCTGATGCACCTGGGAAAGTAATGGGAGATGGCCCAAGGGGTTGGGCCCCTGCCACCCACATGGGAGACCCAGGAGAAGTTCCTGGCTCCTGGCTTCAGCCTGGCCTAGCCCCAGCTATTTCAGCCATTTGTGGGGTAAACCAGTGGATGGAAGAGATCTCTCTCTCTCTCTCTTCTTCTCCCTCTCCTTCTCCCTCTCCCCCTCCCCTTCCCTCTCCCTCTCCCTCCCTCTCCTCCCTCCATATTTATCTCTGTGCAACTTTGCCTTTCAAACTAAATTTTTTTTCCTTTTTTTTTTTTTTTTTTTTTGACAGGCAGAGTGGATAGTGAGAGAGAGAGAGAGAAAGGTCTTCCTTTTGCCGTTGGTTCACCCTCCAACGGCCGCCACGGCTGGCGCGCTGCGGCCGGCGCACTGCGCTGATCCAAAGGCAGGAGCCAGGTACTTCTCCTGGTCTCCCATGGGGTGCAGGGCCCAAGCACTTGGGCCATCCTCCACTGCACTCCCTGGCCACAGCAGAGAGCTGGCCTGGAAGAGGGGCAACCGGGACAGAATCCGGTGCCCCGACCGGGACTAGAACCCGGTGTGCCAGCGCCGCTAGGTAGAGGACTAGCCTATTGAGCTGCGGCGCCAGCCCAAATTAAATTTTAAAAAATCCGTAGAGAAGCTATCTGGAGGACGTGGCCGTATGCTTCGTGCCAAAGCCTGTGGCCATTGCGTGGCTGTTGGCGTCTGACAGCGTATGCCCAGGCCACTCTGAGAGCTGTCGCAGATCACTGCTTCCCCTGCTAACTCCCAGGGTACTTTCTCCTTCCAGGCCGTCACTATGGGGCTGTCAGTTGTGAAGGTTGCAAAGGTTTCTTCAAAAGGAGCGTGAGGAAAAATCTGACCTACAGCTGCCGGAGCAACCAAGACTGCATCATCAATAAACATCACCGCAATCGCTGTCAGTTTTGCCGGCTGAAAAAATGCTTGGAGATGGGCATGAAAATGGAATGTGAGTAGGGCATGAAGCCGCCTGTGGTAACCGGAAGAGAGGGAGCAAGAGTCTGTTCAGTAAGGGGTGTAAATTTGGCCTGAAAATTCTTTAGGAAAAACTGACCCTCTCTGACTTGCTTTTGGCTTACGTTTTGGTCAGCTGGGTGAATGGGCGCCAGTGTTCAGATGAAGCAGGAGACAGCACAGGAGAGTAGGGTGCACACAGCTTGAGAGCACACTGACCCCTGGGGAGCCGGGGAGCCCCTCCCCTGCCTCCATTTCGCCCCGAGGATGCAGTGCACAGACTTGTGCTCACTGCTTCCTTACTGTGTACTTTCCCGCGGGGCTCGGCCCCGGCCCAGCCTCTGCACAGCTGAAGTTCTGAAGGGAGGGCTGTTGCCCCCGGGTGTAGAGCAGCCAACGAAGGTCTCAGACCCCTCTCAGCTCTTTCTTCAGCCAGGCCCTCACCTACAGGGACAGTCAGCATGGAAGTCAGGTTCCTCGCTAGTGGTGCCCGCGTGAAGACAGGAATCCAGGAGAGGCAGCAAAGGGAAACCCAAGAATAGAGCTGGACTCTGCAGGTGCTGCAGAGCATGGAGGGTAGCAAATGCAGGACGCACACTTGACCTGGCAAGGCTGGTGGCCCTGGACCCAGGAGTACAGGCTGCCTACGAAGACTGAGAGGCGTTACCTACCAGTCCCAGTCTGAGTCTCGTAGGTTCTTTTCCTCAGCTTAGTACAGAAATGAGAAGCCAGGAAACATTTTGCAAAGAGGCAGAACCTTTTATTTGATTGGCAAGCGAATAGAGAAAGCGTCTGGTCAGAGAGGAGACCGACCAAACAGAGTGCCTGAGCCGGACACTGGCTTTGAGGAAGTGTCCTGGGTTTTTAAGGCATTACTCTCTGTTCATTGCATTATCTTATTGGGGTGCCCCTTGGACAGGGGGTTTCACATACGTATGTTGATTGGCTTGGGGCTCATGGAGATAGCAGGGGTCTCCTGGAGACTGTCTCCCCAGAGGCTCAGCCCCCTCCTCTGCCAGATCTGGGTGAAAGATTGCAGCCCCCCCCACCCCCCGAAGGTGTGATTGAAGGCTGCAGGGTACACTTGGCGTACAGAAGCTGTTAGTGGGGAGGTGCCGGTCGGCCTGGAGACTGGAGACAGCTTTCCAGCTGCAGCCGACAGCTTGCTTGGGAAGGACATCCTGCCTATGTCTGAAGAGGCCATGGACCCCAGCCCCACTGGCCTGCCTCAGAAGGTAGTAGCGTTTGTACTTCTGGAAACTGAAAATGGGGGGACAAGTGGCAATGTATTCTTTGAGAAATTAGAAATACCATCTAATTTCTGCCAAGGATAACTGCTGTTTCCCCACAGTGGATGCAGACATCACTGGCTTGGTGTTGGACTGGCCCATAGAGCCAAACTGTCCTCTTTCTCAATGATGAATATTGCTACTTAGAGTAATGACTGTAATTGTGTGTGTGTGTGTGTGTGTGTGTGTGAGACAGACAGACAGAGAGCGCTATCACAGGTGTAGATACAAACTTGTGACCCAATCCCTGTCAGTTCGGTTAGCAGGAAGTATGAAACCTTGGCCCTAGGGTTCATGTCTTCCTTGTTCTAAGAAGTCTTCCTTTTCTTCTGTTGTTTCTGGCATGTATACCTGTTCTTAAACTAGGTTGCTAAATGGAGAGACTGCTCGTGTGGTATAACGGGCATAAACTGTGCAGAAGCTGGGTCTGAGTTGGAAATGACAGTGGTTCCTGAATCCCTTGTGACCCAGGCTAGGCTGTGTTACAAGGACCCAGCAGATGAGCACTTCTTCTGCAGAGTTAATTTTGTTAGCAGCGGGAAGTGAAAGCCCAGGGCTGGATCTCTGTGCCACCTGAGGTGCCCAAGTCCCACACTGGAGTGCCTGGCTCGGAGATCCCATGACGCTTCTGATTCCAGCTCCCTCCCGGCACATATCCTGATGGCTCAAGTATTGGGTCCCTGCCACTCATGGGGCAGACCAGGATTGAGTTCCTAGCTCCTGATTTCAGCCTGGCCCAACCCCAGCTGTTGCAGGCATTTGAGGAATGAACTAGTAGATGAGATCTTTCTGTGTCTGTCTCTCAAATAAATAGATATAATTAATTAATGTATCAAAAAAGAAGTGAAGGCCCCGAGGGCTCATTGTGAGCCACAGAGGCCTGGCAGTGGACTGGTGCTGTTTTGTGCGTTTAGATTTCACGTGGCATTGTTTGGCTCGGAACACTTTTCTCCGCTTTGGAAAAGTCCACTGTGAAAACTGAGCCAGATGAGCTAGCACCACCACTTACGTCCCTGCGATAATAGATACTAAGGGAGACCCCTTACTTAACCCTGAGGAATTGTATTCGTTACTGACGTGGGTCTGTGCTCTAAACATGAATATTTATGTTGTGATTTAAGCTGTGCAGAGTGAACGGAAGCCCTTTGACGTGCAGCGGGAGAAACCAAGCAATTGTGCCGCATCAACTGAGAAAATCTATATCCGGAAGGACCTGAGGAGTCCTCTGATAGCCACCCCCACCTTTGTGGCAGACAAAGATGGAGCAAGGTCAGTTCCTGTTCTCACGAAGGGCAGCACGCCTCAGCCTCTGGAGCTGATCAGAGGAGGCACGGCCGCTGCCCGGGGAGGTGTGGCTCCTGCCTGGCTGCCGCGGCCTCCAGCCTCCATTTGCCTCATCCCACCCCTGTTCAGTCACTCCTCTCGGGATGGGCTAGAAATTCTCCACTCTCAGGCTCAGAGACTGTTGTACAGTTAAACTAGCGTTCCTAGGAGTAGAACAGTTGCTCCGTAATTCAGTACTGGGGCTTTTTGCAGTACAGACAGGTCTTTCCTGTCAGAGAGTGCCACAAGTTACTTTGTTTGTTCTAATTGATATAATCTATTGAAGTTACTTTAAAAGGAACAGAAAGCAAACGAGAAACCCAAAATGTATCTTAGAACTGAAGTTGAGAACACCTTGGTGGTTTTCTGAAGATCAAGATCAAGTTAGTTTTTTGTTTTTTTTTTTGTTTTTTTTTTTTTTTGGCAGAAGTCCATAATCATCAGTCAGTGGAAAGCCCTGAAGAACGTGCCTTGGTGCTTCTTCCTGTCTCACGCTGTAGACCTGACTGTGCACATCGTTGCACAGGAAGAAGAGGGCCATTCGGTCCCTCAGTGGCTGAGCCTAGTTAGATCTTTGCTCAGGTGCACATAAGTTGGCAGATGTTGAAGGGACAGGTGAATGCAGCATGATCATACTGTACATAAAATGTTGGAAGCTACTCTGGGTTTCTTTATGTCTTAAATAGACAAACAGGTCTTCTTGATCCAGGGATGCTTGTGAACATCCAGCAGCCTTTGATACGTGAGGATGGTACGGTTCTCCTGGCCACGGATTCCAAGGTGACGTTCTCTCCCTGTGCCTCCTCTCCTCCTCTGTGTTGCCAGTGCAGGCTGCTGCCCTAACTGTGTGTGCCACCTTCTTGGCCTCCCATGGTCTCCATGGAAAAGCATGACCTTGCATCTCACTGTCTGCTTGTTGATGACAGCCACGCTGGGACTTGTTTTAGGGTTGCTGCTGCCTTTTCAGAAACCTCAGTGAGCTGGCTGGTCACCATCACCAGAACAAGGCAGCGTCTGGACTTCAGTTTGGTGGCTATTCTGTGGTTCTGGACTCTTGAGATTTTTTTTTTCTTTTACATTAGCAAGCTGTCATGCTCAAGAAGTAGCTGCTTACCTTGAGTGAGCCTTTTGCAAAAGCCCCCGTCTCTTTTTGTTTGCTCTTTCAGGGATTTGTTTGTTTTGAAAGTTAGAGTTACAGAGAGCGTGAGAGAGGGGTTTTCCATCTGCTGGATCACTCCCCAGATGGCTGGGGCTGGGTCAAACAAACCAGGAGCCAGGAGCTTCATCCAGGTCTCCCACGTGGGTGGCAAAAGCACTTTGGCCATCCTCCGCTGCTTTTCCCAGGCCATTAGGGAGCTGGATGGGAAGTGGAGCTGCAATACAACCCAGCACTCATGTGGGATGCTAGTATCACGGGTGGGAGCTCACCCACATGCTGTCCCTGCCCCTCCCGCAGCCCCCAGTCCCTTTATGTTAGGTGACCTTTAGGAGGAAGTTTAGCCAGAGGCAGTCCAGCTCTAAAACTCAGCTACAGCAAGTCAGCCATGGGAAGTCCAACCTTACTGGGGACAGTACTGTCCTTTCCAAGACAGGGAGACAGCTGGCTAGTTCCTGGGAGGAAAACCAAGGAGGGATTGATGCAGCCCAGGGAAGCCATCGCTTTGCTCATTTGTTGTTCCTAATGTAAACCAAGTAATGAAGGGTGAGCAGCAAGCCGTAGCGGTAAAGGAGGCAGCTCAGTGGCGAGAGCACAGGCCCAGGCCGGGCCTTCAGGTCCTTGTCCGCTCATATCAAGTGCTGAGGGAATGAGAAGGCAGAGAGCCCGAGGCCCGCCTGAGGAGCCGCCCTGCCCTCTCTGGCCTCAGGCGGGCCTTGGAGCTCTCTTCTCTGTGCTTGGGCTATGACAATGTGCAGGACGATGCTGAGGGCACACACCTAACTCCTGCGGGCGGTCCAGAACAGCGGCGCTGACTGCATGGGGAGGAGGAGAGAAGGAGAGAAAACAAAAACCCAAATAACTCTCAAGGTTCCTGATGACCCTGGAACTCTGGCCAGCTGCTCCAGGTGCCATCTGTGCAGACACTGGGCTCAGAGAGCCACCCTGCTGCTCACAGCCATGCGCCCCCTCTCACCCGGCAGCTCCATCCGTGCCTCCCCATGGCAGTGAGCGCTGACTGGCAGGAATGCGTTCCTGTCCCTAGATGGGGGACTGAATGCAGAAGCTGTGTCATGTTTGCATAGTGAACACAGAGCACTTTGGATCAGCACACTGGGCTGCCCTGTGCCTTCCTCCCTGAAATGGAAATACCAGGACCCACCCCAGGAGCGTGTTTGGAAAATAGTACATATCACAGCACCTAAAGATGGCTGTTTTCAGAAGCTGGTTAAAGACTGATTTATTTATTTGAAAGGCAGAGTTAGGCAGAGAGAGAGAGAGAAATCTTTGATCCACTGGTTCACTCTGTGGCCAGGGTTGGGCCAGGTTAAAGCCAGGAGCCTAGAACTCCACCTGGGTCTGCAGCGTGGCAGAGCAGGGACCCTTCCCAGGCACATTAGCAGGGAGCTGGATTGGAAGTAGACTCAAACCAGTGCCTCTATGGGATGCTGGCATCTCAGGCAGTGTCTTAATTAACCCACTGCTCCACCATGTCAGCCCCTCTAGCTCAGTCAGTGTTGCACCTGACCATCTAACTGGCGCCCAGTGAGTGCCATCCTGTTACTCTCCCCTCTTCTTCCTCTTTCTTCCCCGTTAGCATACTTGATGGCCATGATGGCCTCCACCCCACAGCAGCTGCTCAGCACCTCCAGTGACTCCTGTGGCTATTGCTTCTGTCGATTCTGGTGTTTCACTCTTGGAATCAAGACATTTGTACATGAGTATCTTGGTTTATCTCAGTCTATCTCTAACTTCCTCCTTTTTTAAAAAATTGAAATAAAAGTTAAATACCATCCAGTGTACCCTTTGAGTGTATAGTTTAGTGAGTTTTAGTATAACCAAGTTTTGCATCCACTACCCCTCATTTCAGAATAGTTTTGTCTCCCCAGAAGAAACCCAGAACCTCATTAAGCAGTCACAGCCCTTTCCCCTCTCCCAGACCCTGCCACCTCTGACCTCCTCTCTGGCTCCAGGGTTGTGCCAGTTCTGTTTCAAATCGGGGATCATACAGTCTGTGACCTTTTGTGGCTGGCTTCTCTGAATATTAATAGAATGCTTTTAAGGTTCATGCCTAGTAGCCTGTGTCAGCAGTTCATGCCTTTCTGTTGCCAAGTAATATGCCATTCTATAGGTTGACCTTACATTTATTTATCCACTTGTCAGTTGATAGACATTGGAGAAGTTTCTGCATTTGACCAGAGTTTGCTGGTCAGGTGGTAACTCTTGGGTGGAGACTTTGAAGGAACTGCCAGGATATTTTTCAAAATGACTGCATTGCTTTACATTCCTACTGTGTGTGCAGATTGCAGTTTCTCTGTATCCTCACCAGTACTTTATTGCCCAAGTAATTGGCCAGAAACATCCTGGTGTATGTGAAATGGTATTTCCTTGTTTTGATTTGTTGAGTATCTTTTAATGTGCTTATTGGCCATTTGTATTTCTTCTTTGGCAAGATTCAGATCTTTTGTCCATTTTTAAGATTGATTGATTGGCCAGCACCGCGGCTCAATAGGCTAATCCTCCGCCTGCAGCACCAGCACCTCAGGTTCTAGTCCCGGTCAGGGTGCCGGATTCTGTCCCAGTTGCCCCTCTTCCAGGCCAGCTCTCTGCTGTGGCCCGGGAGTGCAGTGGAGGATGGCTCAAGTGCTTGGGCCCTGCACCCACATGGGAGACCAGGAGAAGCACCTGGCTCCTGGCTTTGGATCAGTGCGGTGCGCCAGCTGCGGCGGCCATTGGAGGGTGAACCAACGGCCAAAGAAGACCTTTCTCTCTCTCTCTCTCTCTCTCTCTCACTCTCACTGTCCACTCTGCCTGTCCAAAAAAAAAAAAAAAGATTGATTTAAAAGGCAGAGTGACAGATCTTCCATCACTCAGTTCATGCCTCTGATGGCCACAAATCCAGTCTGGGCCAAGCTGAAGCCAGGAGCCAGGAGCTTCATGTGGGTCTTCCATGTGAGTGGCAGGGGACGAAGCACTTGGGCTATTTTCCAGTGCTTTCCCAGGCACATTAGCAGGAAACTAGATAAGAAGTGAAGTAGCCAGGACTCGAACAGGCATTCCAGTATGGGATGCTGGCATTGCAAGTGAAGGCTCAACCCGCTGCGCCTCAGTGCCACCCCCACCCCTTTGCCCATGTTTAAGTTCATCGTTGAGTTGTAGAGTTCTTTTGGTGTTCTGGTCACTAAGCTGCTGTCAGATACATGATTCGCAAATATTCTTTTCGGTTCTTTAACTTGTCTTTTTGTTTGTGGGTTGCCTTTTTTATTGCTTGGTTGGTAATGTGTTTTGAAGCACAGAAGTTTAACTTTGAGTAAAGTCCAGTTAACCTGTTTTTGTTCTGTCATTTCACCCCTGTGTCCTTAAGTCACCTGTGGGTTTGTGTAACCACAGCCACACAGAGATAAAGAAAACTGACCCATCACCACAGAGAGCACCCTCCCACTGCTCCCTGTGGGGAGCAGTTTTGGAGCCAACATTACACCTTCAGGGGCCTGAGAATCCTTAGCTTATGTGTGTGTGTGTATGTGTGTGTGTGTGTTTAACGTTACTATTTTTTGTTTATTAGGCAGAAACAAGCCAGGGAGCTCTGGGCACACTGGCAAACGTAGTGACCTCCCTTGCCAACCTGAGTGAGTCCTTGAACAACGGTGACACTTCAGAGATCCAGCCAGAGGACCAATCTGCAAGCGAGATTACACGGTACGAGCCCACACGCGCGGACACGCACAGCGCCAGGGGGGGCATGTTGGCATGTATCCTGTTTAATCAAGGGTTCTAAAGCAGTCACAACAACCCTGCATGGCTGTCCTCTTTCAAGTTTTAGCTGTGATAACCTGGGCCCACTTAGCACTGTGTGATACAGACGGTCACCACTGCTTTTCATTCCAAACAAGGAAAAAAGAAACCAGGTAACTCCGTGAAAGTGCAGGGAGGCCTTTTAGTGGACGGCTGTTTATATTGAGCACTGTTCAACACACCTGCATAGTAACAGCTCAGCCCATATCATACTTCTCATTTAGCCCATTTTTCTCCCGTAACCTGAGTGGCGAGTGTGGAGCCTCACTCCGCCAGCGTAGCTACATCCGTATTAGCCAGCAGAGCACGAGCTGGTCTGGGTGTGGTAACTGGATGCTGCAGCTGTGACTCCTCTGCAGCCCGAGCCTTGGTTCTGCTCCTGCCACTCCTGCCTGTCATGCTAGGCTGGCCAGGAGCATGGCTAAGGAGCACGCAGGGACTCTGGTCCTCATGGTTATTTGCAGTCTAAGAGAGAAATGAAGATCTTGGTCCAGTGGAAAGAGGATGGGAATTGAATTAGAAGTCTGGTTCCATCACTTAACTATGTGGATGGTCTTAGAAAAGTTATTTGACATCTGTAAGCCTCAGCATTCACCTCTATAAAATGGAGAGAATTTTTACCTTTGGAAGTTTACTTCATTACTTCAACTGAAGTACTTGAGAGGAGCTGTGGAGGGCGAAGGAGTGTTGTTTCAGCTTATAGTTTTGGAGGTTCACAGTTCGAGACTGAGCAGCCACGTTGGTTCAGGCCTCTGGGAGACTGGACGATGACACGGGGAGCCAGGAAGCACACTCTGCTTGTATGGTGAGCCGTCTCAGGAGTGCCACTTCTGAGGCCAGTCCCCAGTGACTAAAGACGACAGCTAGGCCCAGCTCCCAGACGCGGTAATTAGATCAAGTCCTCACCCTTTGTCGAGCCACCACTGACCACTAACATAAGGCTTTGGGGTTCAAACATTTGAGTTGAGGGAGCCAAATCCTGTTCAAGGCATAATAGGAAATGGTGAAGAACAGAAATTATATGGAAAATAAACATTCCAGAGCTCAGTGCCTAAGAGGAGGTACAATACCCAGAAGCTCTGAGTGTTGGCCCTCCCTCTGCAGGTAGTTTGATTATCCTTTCTCAGAGCATTGCTTGTCTGAGCTACATCTCAGCTAGAGCCCTGTTTCCCCTAAGAGCTGTAGATTCACAGACTTGCTTCATTTTTGCTCACAGGGCATTTGATACCTTAGCTAAAGCACTTAATACCACAGACAGCTCCTCGCCTCCAAGCCTGGCCGACGGGATAGACGCCAGTGGAGGGGGCAGCATCCACGTCATCAGCAGAGACCAGTCGACACCCATCATTGAGGTTGAAGGCCCTCTCCTTTCAGACACACACGTCACATTTAAGGTGAGTGCTCTCAGACTAACCACACGCGAGCCTCCCCAGCCTGTTGGGAGAGAGGTTTCTGCCGAAGCTGATCTGTAGGCTCTAAAGCCAACCCTAAGCGTGAGCTCCTTTTCTTTCCTTATCTATTTAAAAGTCAGAGTTACAAAGAAACGGAGAGAATCTGCCTTCTCTGGTTCACTCCCCAAAGGGCCACTACAGCCAGGGCTGGGCCAGGCCAAAGTCAAGAGCTTCTTCCAGGTCTCGCATGTGTGGCAGGGGCCCAAGCACATGGGCCATCCTCTGCTGCTTTCCCAGGTGCATTAGCAGGGAGCTAGATCGAAAGTGGAGCAGCCAGGACTCAAACCAGTGCTCATATGGGATGTCGGCACCACAGGCAGTGGCTTCCCCCAGTTTTGCTGAATTGTAGCCCCAGCATGAGCTCATTCTCGTACTGTGGACCTGGACATCAAGGCCTCAACCAGGATCTTGTATTCCATTGGGAAGCATTTTCACTTGTCTTGTGCTCACTGTGCGTTGGGTTCTGAAGGTAAACCTGAAGCAGGTGCAGCCAGTCATTATCGAGACTGGCCAGTGTGGCGCCTCTGCTGCTGCCTTCCCGACACAGCCCAGCTGCAGCATGGGCTGGGGGGGAGGGGGGGGTGCAATTTTTCTTCTCTGTGCAGGAGAAGCCTGCCTACAAGATCTCCTTCCTGACCACTGATCTGACACGTTGCCCCTCAGAGCCTCTGTAACATAGGCATCCTTGAAGAGACTGTTGGTTCGCACAGGTTTTCCTGTGCACACCTTCACTACCTCACCTTTTGAGGACATTCCCAGGACAGCTGAGGCCCCTCTGTCCCTGGGTCTCCAGCTGAGTCTTCCTGGAGAGATCTGCCTGCTCACTTACAAAGATGGGATCGCTGCTCCTAGTTGGCCAGGGGTGCCCAAGACATAGTTCAGCAGTGGGATTCCAGTTTCAATGGCATGGGAGGCCCTGTTAGTCAGTGGAGCTATAGAGCCCTGGCCTGGCATCCAGGAGGCAGGAATTGTCCTACTCCGTGGGTTATGTGTGGCCTCCACCTCTGTTCCCTTGAAGCCACCTTCCAAAGTGCCTACGAGCCTGTGGGTCTGACCCCTGTTCCCAGTTCAATTTAAACTTTGAGCTATGGCTCAGAGTGGACTACAGTGAGTAACAGCTGAGCTGACACAAGAGTTGAATAGCATGTTTTCATATGAGCGACCTGGGAAGTCCCCCTGGGCCTGTTAGACGGCGGTTAGACTGAGCAAGAAAGCATGGGGATCGGTGCCCCTCGCAAAAGCTGGACCCATGCAGCAGCTTCACAGTCAGAGGCAGGGAGCCTCGCTGGCACCGCCCCTGAAAGGGCAGGGCACGTGTGGCCAGCACAGCGGTCCCCAGAGCCCTCACCTCTGCCTGTGCGCCTCCCTTGTGCAGCTGACAATGCCCAGCCCGATGCCGGAATACCTCAACGTGCACTACATCTGCGAGTCTGCGTCCCGCCTGCTCTTCCTCTCCATGCACTGGGCCAGGTCCATCCCAGCCTTTCAGGCACTTGGGTGAGTGTTTTCTTAGCATGTGTCGGGGGTAGGTAAGGGGCTGCCCTCTCTAGGAATGGCTTGGAAAACCTACGAGGTCCCTTCTAGTTTGTTCCTAAGACCTTGTTCAAGAGCCCCTGATGTTTGTTTTCTAAAGATTTATTTATTTCAAAGAGCTACAGAGAAGGAAAGGCAGTCAGAGAGAGATCTTCCATCCATTTGTTCACGAACCAAATGGCCGCAATGGCCAGGACTGGGCCAGGCTGAAGCCAGGAGCTTCACCTGGGTCTCCCATGTGGGTGCAGGGCCCAAGCACTTGAGCCAGTGATTTCCCAGGCACATTCATGGGAGCTGGATCAGAAGTGGAACAGGCAGGACTCAAACCAGTGCCCACATGGATGCCTGCACCACAGGTAGTAGCTTCACCTGCTAGGTCCGCGACACCACTGGCCTCACCCTCAGTTTGGTTTTTATTTTGTTGTTCTTGTTTCAAGATTTATTTTATTTATGGAGGTAGATAGGGAGAGAGAGAAGTCTTCTATCTGCTGGTTCACTCTCCAAATGGCCACAATGACTGGGGCTGGGCCAGGCAGGAGCCAAGAGCACTTTTTCTGTTTGATTTGGAACCACGATACCACATAGTCAAGGTGGTGTCAGTCAGATCTCGCATGCAGTGCTTTGTAAGCGGACGTTCAGGCTAGGAGGATAAATCACGAGGCACGTGTCAGGTGGTGGGCCTGGCACAGGGCTGCAGCCCTGGTCCCATTGCTCTCCCCTGGCTGAGCTGTCCTTGAGGTGACTGGGGGAATGGCCTTGTCCAGATGGCTGAGGTTCTCCGGCCTCCTGGTGTCTTGAGGCCCATGGAGGGATGCTGCCTCTGGGCACATCTGGGACTAAGAGCAGCTGGTCTCGCAGCTGCTGGCCCTGCTGGCCGACTTGAGAACTTGTCCAGGACAGGGCTGCAAGCTCCCTGCTGCAGCCCCAACTCCAGCTGCAGCACAGGGTCTGCCGCCTGTCTGCTGGGGTGACAGGGACCTTCTGCCCTTCAGCGTCCACTCAGCTGCTGTCCTTTGATCTCTGCCATCTCTCGTGACCTTGGCCAAGGACCTGAGACACAGATACCCATTCCCTGGGACACAGCCAAGCCAGGGTTGCTGAGGACTCAGAAGGCTTGGCCACACTTCAGTCTAAAGAATCTTCTTTAAGAGAGTAGTTTAATGTCAGACTTGAACTACAACATTCATAGAGTTGACCGTTTTCAAGGATGACCCTGCACACCCCAGAGACCCTAAACAAACACCTGTCAGATCTGCTTGGTGGGGAGTGCTGAGGCTTAGTGCCTGCGTTGCCCACATCCTGGGAGAAGTGCAGTGTGCAGCCACACTGAGCCTGCTTTCTGTGTCCGCAGGCAGGACTGTAACACCAGCCTAGTGCGGGCCTGCTGGAACGAGCTCTTCACCCTAGGCCTGGCCCAGTGTGCCCAGGTCATGAGTCTCTCCACCATCCTGGCCGCCATTGTCAACCACCTGCAGAACAGCATCCAGGAAGGTAGGGACTGGGGACCTGGGGTGAGCTGTGTTTTGGTCAGGTGCTCATGGAGCAGAACCCAGCCCTCTGCAAGAGACCCATGTCAAAGACACCTTAGTTTCCCCAGGCTGCCTCCGTGGCAAGGTGGCTGAGCTCGGCGTCCCACCATGCACATCAGCTGACGGAAGCCCGACTGTTGATTCAGGGGCCTTTACCAGTGCAGACGGCCCTCCTCCATGCAGTGAATACAAACAAGACACGGAAAGGCCATTTCCTCACAGGCCTTGAGTGCTTTCAGAATAAGGCCAGCTTCTGTGTGCATCTCCCTGACTGGTGATGGGCCATCTTTTCATGAGTAACAGCTCACAAATCCTCACAGCTCTGTAATGCAGGGACTGTCATCTCCCTGGGTCCCTGTTTCTCTACCTTTAAGTAAGTTTTTAAAAAGAAGGAAAGAGAAAAGCTAACCACTCATGTGAATTGGTTTCCTTTTCCTTTTTTTTTTTTTTTTTTGGTTAAGAGCCATTTTATTTGAAAGGCAGAGTGGGAAGGAGGGACAGAAAATAAGAAAGGCAGACTGATGGCCCATCTGCTGGTTCACTCCTCAGAAGCCCACAGCAGAGGCTGGACCAGCCTCCACCCTGGTCTCCCAGTGGGTGGCAGGAGCCCAGATCCTCGGGCCATGATGTGCGCGTCCAGGCACGGCAGCAGAGCACTGGATTGGAGTAGAGTAGCGGTATCCAGACCCGTGTTCTGCTGCGGGACATGCTCATCTCATGCAGCACAACGCTGCTGTGCCACGGCACCTGCACGGAGTCTGAAGCAGTTGAAGGGCGGTCACGGTGTGTCCCTGGGAGACCAAAGGAGTTGCAGGGAGTGGGCAGGGAGGCTTGGTCCAGGGGTCATGGTCCAGGCGGAGTGGGCAGTGAGGTGGAGTTTGGATGCCTGTTGTTACTTCAGCTCGAAAATGAAATTAATCTCCCATTTCTTTCCACCTGAGGCACCTCAAAGCAGCTGGTTGTATGTTACCGGCCTTTCTCAGGTGGTCTGTGACGTTGCTTTCCAGATAAACTTTCTGGCGACCGGATCAAGCAGGTCATGGAGCACATCTGGAAGCTGCAGGAGTTCTGCAACAGCATGGCGAAGCTGGATATAGACGGCTATGAGTACGCATACCTTAAAGCTATAGTTCTCTTTAGCCCCGGTAAGATATGCGGTGGGGACTTGGGACATTTTCCCTCCTGAACATGACCATGTCGAGTCATCAGCAGTATAGGGAGAGCTCTGCCAGACTGTATGTGACCTGGCGTCCTCATGAGAAGGGCTTTGTTACCTAACATAAATACATAAATTCTCCTAAACCCTTGTCTCTCTAGCCCTACCAGAACAGCAATGCATCAGCCAGACAAGCTTATGCCACATGAGATAGCGTACCACCTGCCATCCAGACTCCTTTGTTCTTTCCTTTTGTTGGTTTGTTTTGGCTGTGCGCACTGCCAAGTTCTGTTAGAATGTAGAATACAGAGCGACAGGCTGTGTGCACAAGCGGCAGCGGCCACTGCAGGTTGTACCAAAAGGACCGGCCGCAGATATGGACAGGAGGCAGCGGGGCTGTGAGGGCACGGAGGGGACAAGTGGGCTGACCTTTAACCTTGACAGGGCTGGATGCAGCTTAACCTTTCCCATGCTCCCTATTCCGGTTCGTGAACAATATGGCTGACATAAAGGTGGGAAGACTATAATTCAGTAGCTAGAAAACGAATGACAACTCCTAATTGTACATGACAGCTTGAAGATGTGTTTTCTGCAGTACTAAGAAGGCACATGTCCAGAAGCCACTCAGGCTGGGGTGTTTACTCAGGAGAGCAGCCTCTCCGAGCCAAAGCCAGCCTTCTGAGACAGACATCCCAGCTAGCTCAGTCTTGTTCTTTGATTTTTAAAGATTTTTTTATTTTTTTAGAGTGCACACTTTGATCTTAAAAACACAAAACTAAGAAGTCTGCAGACAAAACTGTCTAAATACAGAAGGGAAACCGGGGTTGCTTTTCTGTTTTCAGATCATCCAGGTTTGAGTGGCACAAGCCAAATCGAAAAATTCCAAGAAAAGGCACAGATGGAGTTGCAGGACTACGTGCAGAAAACCTACTCGGAAGACACGTACCGGTGAGGCACACGGGCACGCGCTCTTGCTGGGAGCAGAAAGGAGTGTGGCTGGAGCGGCAGTGTTGCTAGCAGCCTGCCAGGGGCTGCCTCTGAGCACACTTGGCTTCTGCAGTTGCAGACGTGCTGCTCCGGCGTGCAGGTGTCAGGTCAGAGGGGCCGGGCTGCCAGGCTGCCAGGGGTGCTGTGATTCTGTGGGCAAGGCTTCCAGCTGCTGCTCTCTAACTGGAGGGCTTGGAGTCGATGCTGGAGCTGACACGTGTGAGGCTCAGGTACCCGTGGAGACCCCCTTCGTCCCGAGTAGTTTGACGGGTCTTGGCTCTGCTCAGCACCCACTGAAGCAGCCTGCAGGACCTGACCAGACAGTTAACTCTGATCCCAGTAAAGATCTGATAAGTCGTATAAAATTCTACCCTCACAGAAACTAATGGAAAAAAGTCCCTTTATTTGGTGAAGGTTGATTGACAGTGTATTTGTAAAGGGTCGACTCAAAAATACATTGAAATAGCGTGGACTATTCAGAATGCATGGAGGACTCTCCCCATGACTTCTCAACCCCTGTGGGCCACAGGAGTTTTTGGAACCTTTGCAAATAAAATGACATTGTATCTGCCTTCTCCGCCATCCCCTATGAAGAACTGTTGGAGTAATACTGATAGTCCAGGAAGACACTCGTGTGCCCCGTGCAGGCCTCAGAACCGAGATGCGACACGTGCGGGCTTCCCCTCGGCCCCTGTACTTCTCAGAGAATGGTCTTGCCCTGCAGCAAGCTGTTCCCTGAGGAAGCCACAGGCGCACTGCCCCAGGCTCCCACGGCCACAAGATGGCGGGGACTGGCCTTGGGGGAGCTGCTGGCAGAACCACGGCTTCCTCTAAGTGATCACCTCAGCATCATCGGGGAGTACGGTGAGCTGGGGACATGGACGATGATGCTGGAATGCTACTTGTGTAAGCACTGCAGGAAAACACAGAACATTCTGGAAAGCAGACAGGAAACACCTTAATCCCATTAAAAAAGTCCTGTCCGGAGGTACCTTCTATTACTGTTTTATGTGTAGTGGGTACCATAAACTGTAGGAGGTTTCATAACCTTCTTTCATGTTCTGCACACTGAGCGAGCCCATCTTTTCCCTGCCAGAGAAAAGGTAGGTGGTTGTAGTCGGGCTGTCAGCGTGGTGTATGGTGGCATCTAGCACACACTGCTTGTTCCGGGCTGGGGAATGGCCTGGCCATGTGAGGCACTTTGGATACAGTGTCCAGTGGCCGTCCAGGGCAGGAACGTGGTAACCAACCCTTCATCCTGTGTTATTTGTAATGCTGAATGAGCACTGGAAATTAGAGCACTGTAGAAAAGGTTTCACAATCTTTATTCAGTGAGTAGGTAGCAGTCTGTCATGTGAAAATGCCATGCCCTTCCAGGGATGAATTTCCAAGTTTTTTCTTTTTGGTGGGTGGGAGAATTGTTACAAACACAGAAGAGAACATATTTGAACCCTACACGTCTGTACTCCTTGGATATTTTTTCTCATGATAGGTTTCTGATAGAATACCTGTTTGTTGAAATCAAAAAACAGGTGGGTGGAAAATGAATGTGTTGGGCTCAATTCTGCACAGTATAGACCGGGCCCAGGAACAAGAGCTGGGCCTGGAATCCCGTTCCTAATGTTGCTCCCTCTTACAGATTGGCCCGGATTCTCGTCCGCCTGCCGGCACTCAGGCTGATGAGCGCCAACATAACAGAAGAACTTTTTTTTACTGGTCTCATTGGCAACGTTTCCATAGACAGCATAATCCCCTATATCCTCAAGATGGAGACCGCAGAATACAACGGCCAGATCACAGGAGCCAGCCTATAGCACACACCGCACACCCGCCGAGCGGCACAGGACCTCCAGACCCACCCAGACACCAAGGAGAGACAGAGTGGAGGCATCGTGGTATGTGCAGATATTCCCAGTACCCGGTTTCTTCTCATCTGTTAACCCGACAACTGCAACTAAAAGACTAGTAGGATCCATTCCTCCCTAAGAAACATTTTAATGCCTTTTGATGAAGCAGATTTTGAAACAATCTTTTAACTCAATTTGTATTTAGAAATTCTCAAAGGGCAAAAAACAGAAATGAAGTTTTATAATGTCAGAGATTAGTATTAAAGAAAACTAAAAGAAACTAAGAGAACAGTATGTGTGTATATATATTAAAAATGTCCTTGGAACTAATAGCTACTAATTACCAGGGTAATGACATTAGCACTTTCTGAGCACTTCTTGATCAACGTTAGCATTTTGCCTGTGGGCAGGGCAAATGGAAAACTGTTTGTTAGTCTTTGCTGAAACGCTAAGGATTCTGTGAAAACTCAGTGGGGCACAGGAGACAATCATTTATGTTTAAGAAAAAATGGCGTCACTCCTCACCACAGGCACACACTGCTGCAGGGCTCAGTTCCTGGGAACACAAAGGCGGCTGTGCATGTCCTACACTAAGTGGGCCGGGCGGGTGGTGCTAGCACAGCTGGTGGCACCAACCCGGAGGCGCTCAGCTGCAGAGCTGGCCCTAGTCATGTTCTCTGACCTGGTCCAGGATGGGTGTGTGCAGACTCCTCCAGAGCCCGGGGCTCTCTTCTCAGGACTGTCCTCAGATGCGATTGCAGCTAGGTAAGACATTAACTGCTGGTGAGACCTGCAGTTCCTCCGCTACCCCAGCAGAGGGCGTCTTCCAGAAAGCCTCCTTCCTGCACAGGACAGGGCTGTTACATGCTGTCCACTGGGAGGAGGGCGACCTCTGCAAGGGGAGGGCCGTCCCCGAGGGCTTCCACGGTGGCAGGGCCCAAGTTTCTGCAGTCACTTGGAATGGAAGGGAGCTGCCTATGGCCTGGTGAAGGTACAGCGTTTTGGGATTTTTTTTTTTTTTTTTCACATTGACTTTAAATGTCAGGGTCTCTACAGCATCTCCAGTCTCCACTGGAATCTCCTAGCGTCCTGACACCGTGCATTCTGGTTCCCCGGTGCAGCTTGTGCCCAAGATGATATTCTTTCTCAGAAGTTAGTGTCTGGAGCGTACAGGAACAGAAGTCAATCCTAGGGAAGTTGCGTCTGACATGAGCGGTCCCAAGCTTCCCTTCTGGGAAAGTGGCATGCAGCACACTGTCGAATGTTTTGTTTTCTTTGTTTATAGCCCCAATTAAGAAAATGCATCCTGTAAGGTTAATCCTGTGCATTGTTGAACCTGCTGATCGTATGGTATCCAACAAGATGACAGTTCAGTCTCCTGCCTCGCAGGCACTCAGCCCTGGTATGAGCAAGTGGACAGGCTGAACGCTACCAGGGGCCCAAGGCAAACGAGATGCTTTATCCTGCGGGGTGAGCAGCACTTACGTAAGTCACTGCGAATGGGGACAGCACCTGCAACTTCTCAACTCCTGCTTGGGATTTAATCACACTTAAAGCAGAGAGTATATAGTGGGGATGGTCATTAAAAATGGAGAGGATTTTGTTCCGCTAGCTCAAGTTTTTAGTTTGCTACCCCTGAAGAGTACTGAACTCCATTAGGACAGCAACGTCCAGGACAGTGGACTTACATGTTCTGTGTCGTCCCCGCTTGTGGAGAGTTGCAGCAGAGGATATCTTAAGCTCGTCTGTCCGCAGTAGTTGCTTCCTCTTCATTTTTCACCCGGAGCATGTTAATCGACTCAAAATTCCGAAAATACGTGTGTCACAGTTTTTGGATCCCCGTCCTTGCAGCAGCCGGCCCTGGAGTCCTATGTCCATTAGGCTGCCCAGGCTCAGGTTGAACAAAGTGCTAAGCTCTGGGAGAACCCTGGAGCAGAATCAGTATTGCTTCTAAAGTTGCTGATTCTAACCTGGTCCTCCTCAAGTTCCTTTGCTGGCAGTGGCTGATTCCAGGGCACCGTGGTGAGTGCTGAGTACTCCACTGCGTCCCAGCTCATCGTGGCCTTTGTGCAAGGATTGCGTCACCAGACCCGTGTTAGCCACAGGTGCATTCTCTGTCCTGTCAGCCCAAAGTCAAGATTTGGAGAGTCCCGACCATGTGTCTTACAGCTCTGACAGTTCCAGGCCATTTCACCCAGGGCCGCTGTACTGTGAGCCCACTGGCACTGCACCCGTTGTGAGAAGGGCTCAGTGGCTCAGGGAGCCAGGACAGACACCGCTGTCACACTTTGGTGATGTGGGCTTTTTTTCCAGAATAATCTCATTGAGGTTAAAGTGGTTCCATGTTGAAATGTATCAAGATCACTGGTATGAGCATAAAACAGAAAAAGACCAAATTACTTAAGCAAATACCACTTTGAAGTCACTCCTGAAGTGTTCTTAAGGAAGCAATGTTACCATCTCTGGCATTTGGAATAGAAGTGTGCAATTTGGAGCGTTTTTATTGTCTAATTCCTGCCGTAAGGCCAGGGTTCGCTTTCAGATGTAGTCTTGGTTGCATGTTCCATGATTGCCCTGCACAGAGGGAGTGATGGCCAGCTTTTCGGTAGTCCAGCTGTGGTGATGTTGGTGATGGCGGCGGTGCCGTGGGTTCTCGGGCCGAGTGGCCACGTGCTCACCAGAGTGTAGTCTCTAGATGGACACACTTTGCTCTTCCGCATGTTACAGACTCTGGCTGGATTTAGTGCTTTCACTGAGGGGGGACAAAGCCCGACTCTGGTGGCTCCATTTCCTGCAGAGAAGCCCCGCTCCCGGGCGCACCCTGTGTGTCCACTTACCTGATCTCATGCGCGTGTGGAAGCTCAGTGCCCCCTTTCCAGCGTCGAGAGCTGTATATGCGGTGGGGTTAGAGGTGTTTTCCCGTCCTCTAAAGCCAGGCCCTGAAGGTGTCACTGGGCGACAGGCTGTTCTCCCGGGAGGCCCCTGAGGACGTCCCAAGCCAGCAGAGCACATGCCCCACAGGCTGCCTGTGCCCAGCTACGCCAGCGGCGGCTCTGTAATTATGTCTTAACATTGATGCGAATTTCTAAACCCAACTCCTGGAGACAGGGTTCTGGTCCTCCTCCTTGTGTGCCTCCGCTCGTGTGCACTGCACACATCCAACCCTGGGCCCATCAGCAGCGTCGTGGCTGTACAGATGTATAGGCTTGTATGACTGACTGAATGTACACGTGTCTATATCTCCTACCTGTACAGTATGTATATAGTAATGTGTATGTGTACATAGGTGTACATTATGTATACAAACATGTAGCCTTCTAGCCCGAGTTTCCTTATGTTTAAAGAGCTCATTATGATAGTCATTCATCTAAGTTGATGTGGGTGTTCAAGGTCCCTCAGCAGGAAGATTTGCCCATTTCTAAACTCCCGTTTCCCTTTTGGGGAACTTAGCTGGGAAGGGCCACAAAGTCCGTCTCCATCCTGCACAAGGGAGAATTCCCGATGGGTAAAGTGCGGACAGAGTGACTTCTTGTATTTTCTCAAGGTTCAGACAAGGGCCAGAAAGCTCTGAGAGTTCATCCTGAAGCCCAGAACTCAAGTGGGAATTTTTCATGGACTTGCCATGCTCCTTTCTGGCCCAGCTGGAATGAACCTGTGGTTAGAGCCCGTGCCTTCCCCAATGCTCACAGCACCTTTGCGGGTTCCAGAGCCAGGGGTCAGGGTCACAACACGGTCCTGGCAGCAGGTCCTTTGCACCATCAGCAAAGCCGGGAGGGCACTGCCCTGGGACTCGGCCCATGACTTCTCATCTCTGATGCCAGCTGAAAACTCCATCCCCCCAGTGTTCTTCTGAATCAGCATGATGCCAATGGCTAACCTTGGTGGCACCTAAGCCACAGGTTTTGAATTCTCTAACTGTAGGCATACAAGTGTAAATTATGATGCAAATTTTTCAGATAAAAATTGTATTTTTGTGCCCTTAAGGCTACAGAGGGCAGATTTTTTCCTGTGCAGGTCTATTATGAATTTTCGCCCTTTAGCAGGCTTTAAACGGAGACGTGGCACTTGGGAGCCAGGGCCCAGCCACTGGGAGAAATCACTGGCCAACTACAAGCACTCAGAATCCACAGGCTGCTCTTTTTCTTACAATCAGCCATCAAATGTTGGCAGACACTTCGTGAGCCCACAGTGCTCCGTGCTTTTCGTGACACGTGGGTCCTTCAGCCTCCCCATTTTGATGTAAAGAAAGCAAGCCGGTTGCTGGCCTCACCCACCTGTGGTTGTGCCATTGCCTGGCGCGACAATCACCCTGGTCAGAGTGGCTTTCCAGGCCAAATACAGATGGAAGCAGCACTGTCTCTAAATGAAAATTTAGAAATTTTCAATTTTCTTTTGGGGCTATTTATCTCAAAAGCAATCTAAGAAAAATTATTCACTTAAAAAAGAATGTCATGTTTTTATCCCAGCTGTACATATTTCAGTTAAGAAGCCAACAGTTTTTATGTCTCAATACTTGTATACATACAACAGAAAAAACACTAAACATTCATCAGCTGACAGACTGTTAGGATTTGGATAACATTTGCAAATAGACTTTTACATTAAAAATAGCTTCGGAGAAGTATCTTTTTTTTCAACCACCACATTCAAGGACTCCAACGCTGCCGCCATGTACAACTCAAGTGCTGAGATATTTTTCTATAGTTCCCCGTTCTCCCACTTACCTTGTAAACCAGTGTTCAACTAGTTTTATAATGGAAAAGCTGCACACTTTTCATAGTACCAACCATAATTTTTATCTGTAGTTTGGACTTCTTTAAGAGGTAGCTGCATTACCAGCCCTTTTAAAATTTGGGTGTTAGGTTTTCTTGGGACCGTTTCTGTAACCTCTGCCCTTCACAATATGAAATCAAAGATTGTTTATGCCATTACTTGTAATTCCGGGTTTAAAAACCTGTCCAAAGCTGTAGCTTTACAGCGTGCTTCCCCTGTGAAACCAGCTTGGTGTATGTAATGGCATTTAAAAATGGCATGTTCTTTTTAAACTCAATTTTATATCTAATCAATGTCTTCAGTCTTGAAGAATTTGCATTGTTGTGTTTGTACATAGAGTATTGCAGTGCATGAATTAGCTTTATGCATTTTATGAAATGCTGTCTCTGTGGCATTACTGTTGTGGCTTACTCCTCCCACTTTAACGAGGTTTCTACTATTAAAGCAACTTACAGACTCACATGCATCCTGCTCATCATTTCTCCCCCGGACAGCACAGCTGCAGCATTGTGGGTGATGGCTCTGCAGCTCTGCCTCAGGCCTTAGCCAAGGGTGACCTTGACCCCTACGGCCCACTTGCACATACATGTAGTGCAAACGCCTGCAGGGTGGTCGCCACAGCCACCTGGCAGGAAAGTCCCTTGGTGTGAAAGCCAGGCCCCACGCAGCACACTCACCCTGTGCGGGCATCTGCAACCTGGTTAAACCTCTCGGGTTTCCCGAGCTGGGACGAACTCAGTGTGATGTCGTCTGCCCTCTTGCTGTTCCAGGTGACAGCGCAGAGATCCCCAGCCTAGTGACAGAATTCCCTGGCAGCCATCCAGAGAGCACTAGTGACACAGTACGAGAAGGGTCAGATCTAAAATCCTCTCAGTGGGCTCATCTTATTTTCTCCCATTTATATTTTGAACCCATTTTTCATCCCAAAAAAACAGGAAGAGACAAGTTTAAATTGTTCAGAATTTCCATCTGCTGCCAGTGGCACAGTCCGTGCCATTAGCAAGGCTGGCACCACAGCAGCCTACCCACTGCCCTGGCAGGCACCAGGTCTTGGCTGCCTATGCCACAGCCTGTCACACCTGTCGTCAAACTCCCATCTTAGTTCCATCAGGCACTGGACATCTACCTGTTTCAGAGACCGAAATCATAGCCCTAAGGACCCAAAGGTGCTCACTGCAAAGCTGCAGTCGGCGGAGCGGCCCTGGAGCCACGCACAGGAGGGCAGGGATTTCTGTGGAGAAGTTGCCTAGCCCCATCCTAGTTTGAGTCAACACCACGTTAGTCAACCATTCGAGACCCATACTTCCCCCACCCTCGTCCCAGAACTCCACATGCCATCCCCCGGACTACAAACCCACCGTACAGCAGAACGTGAGCCATCCACTCACAGAAAGCATCGCAGTTCCCATCACATCGCTGGCTGCCTGCCTTCATCCCCACTGCACACTGGAGGAACCAGGCAGGGACTCGGAGCTTGAGCACAGCCTGGCCCAGACCCCAGGAAATACAGGAAATACAGGTCTCAGCCAGGCCCTCTTCAGCCCCACTGCCCTCCTGTGACCCCATAACCACTGCTCACTGTGCCCTCAAGTCCAGTCTCCTGGGAGTAAACCGCAGAGGACTCTGCTGTCTTCTGAAAGCAATGTGACAAGTAACCGCTTCCATAGCCGTGACGTCAGCAACCTCTGCCGAGACCCAAAACCTCCACCAGCAGCAACGCCTTCCTCCCACCACGGCTGCTAACCGTCCCTGGCCAGGGCACAAAGTGACGGTGTTAAGTGGCCAGCAGGCATGTGCCTGAGTGGGGCTGGCCAGTCAGCCACTAGGGGCTCATGCAGCTCTGGCCCGAAGCCAGGCCCCGCAGGGGGAAGGGCTGGTCACCTTCAGCCAAAAGTCAGTGCTGCCCAAAGGGTTGCCTTCAGATTTCTGAAAAGCACCCAGATGCCTCAGCTGGAAGGGTGTCCACACTGCCAGCCACAGACAGCTCCAGACAACCACAGCAGCCCTTCAGTTCTGGAGGGAGACCTGGTCCAAGGCAGAAGGCACCAGCGGAGTGCTACAGGACAGAGTCCGGTGTCCACAGCTGCGGCCTTACACACACACACACACGCACGCACACAGCAAGACCCACACCACGTGGCTGCAGTCAGCCACTCAGCTCCAGACAGCCCACCCTATGTGCTTTTGTTCTTTTACACCTGTATGAAGAGCTTTTATTACAAAGAGGTTTCCGGGATGTCTCCGAGACAGAACCTGGGCCGAGGGAATCCCATCCCCAGTTCCTCACTGGTCCGATGGCCCGGCCCAGCCCGCAGTAGCCTCGGGCCTCAGTCCTGGGCACTGGCTTTCAGAGCAGCTTTGTGCTTCCCCGTCATCTCCTTGGGTAACGGCACCAGCCCGGGGCAGGGCACCTGCCCTTCTACCTCACAGATGCACTCCCGCAGGCAGTACTTCCGGGGGCCGAAGTTGGCTGGGTGAGAGAGCTGCAGCTTCTCCTGTTCCTCTTTCTTGAGGGTTTCCCTGGCAGAGAGCAGAGATGGCACCAAGCATGAGCAAGACACTGCTGGGCTCTCCTGCCCCTAACCTCACCCCCAAAGCCTCTCCCCTCCCGCTCGCCCACCTCAAGCAGTGGTGGAGGGCCCAGAAGAGGAAGGCCTGCACACGAGCAGGGACGGTCACCGGGGCAGCACCTGCCTGCTGCTGTGGCCCCCAAACATCGCCGGCCCACAGCTAACGGGCACCACCACAGGGAGAGGAGCCTGGAAATGGCTCCGCATGGCTTCCTTCCCTTCCCATGTCCTTCCTCACTGGGAGGCAAAGGGCCACGCCACGGAGGGCCGGGCCGAACACGTGCCAGCTCCGAGCAGAGCTGCCCTCCGCTCTCACCAGCCCAGGAGGTGGGCCTGGCCCCTTCCCTTGGACAGCTGTCTGTGGAGGGCGGCCAAGCCACAGCCCGGGCTGCTCTGGGGTTTGGGGCTCCCTCACGGGGGTCGTCCCTCTCTCTGCCTACCCCACACGCCTTTCTTCCTCTACTTGGACGTGCTAAGATCAGGGTTAGGGCCCCCAGCAACTCACTCATTCTTCCCCAAGATTCTTCGGATGTGCTCCATGATCTCCTTGTTGCTCTTGGTTTCCATGTCCACCAGGACCTGCTCCCCGGAGTCTGTAGACAGACGGGAGAGGCTGCTCTCAGCCTTAGGAAAACAGACGCGCAGCACAAGCCTGCTTTCTGTATGTATCTAACCAGGGGCAGATATAAAACACACTTGTGTTCAGCAGCTTAGGTGATCCTAACGGAAGGACACCACGGGCCAGGGACAGCCTCCACCCCAGTCAGTGCAGTCCCCAGAACCTGCTCCACTGAGCCTCAAATGCTTTTATCACAGAAAAAAGGGACCCAAAATAGCCACAGTAATTATGGAGAAGGAAGACAAATTCCCAATTTTTTAAGTTTCATTTATAGAGTTACAGAGAATGAGGCATAGATAAATCTTCCATCTTCCAGTTCACTCCCCAAATGGGCACAAGGGTCAGAGCTGGGCCAGGCCTAAGCCAGGAGCCTGGAACTACTGCTGGGTCTGCCACATGGGTGCAGGGCCCCAAGACTTGGGCCTTCACTGCTTTCCCAGGCACGTTAGAGAGGGGCCTGGGCTAGGAAGGCCAGCGCCACAGGCAGACGTTTAAGCGGCTGTACTGCATCACTGGCCCCATCACCTTCCAATTTCACATGCACTCTAAGTGGGGTACTAGCCTAAAACACAGCCCACTGATTGTTGGCAAAGATGCCAAGATAACCCACTGAAGACATGGTGCTGGGATAACTTGCTGCTCATAGGCAAAAAAAAAAAAATCAAATCGTACCCTTTACCTAGTAGCACTTTCAAGAAAAAAAAAAAAAAAAGGTCAGAGACCCAAATGTAACAGCTCAAACTTGGGAGCTAGCATTGTGGCATAGCAAGTAAGGCTGCCCTGCAATGCCAACATCCCATCTGGGTGCTGGTTCAAGGCCTGGCTGCTCCACTTCTAATCCAGTTCCCTGGAAAAGCAGCAGAAGATAGTCCAAGTCCTTGGGCCCCTGCCACCCACACCGGAGACCCAGAGGAAGCTCCTAGCTTTAGCCTGGCCCAGCCCTGGCCACTGTGGCCATCTAGGGAATAAAGCAGTGGATGGAACACCTCTTTATCTCCTCCTTTCTCTAACTCTAGCTTTCAAATAAGTTATTAAAAGAAAAAAAAAAAAAAAAGACTTCCAGAAAAAAATCCTAGGGGCTAATGCTGTGATATAGCAGGTAAGGCTGTAGCCTGCAGTACTGGCATTCCATATGGGCGCCGGTTCGAGTCCTTGCTGCTCCACTCCCAATCCAGCTCTCTGCTATGGCCTGGGAAAGCAGTAGAGGATGGCGCAAGTGCTTGGGAGGAAGCACCTGGCTCCTGGCTTCGGATCAGCGTAGCTCCTGTAGCTCCTGCCGTAGCGGCCATCTGGGGAGTAAACCAACAGAAGGAAGACCTCTCTGTCTCTCTCATTGTCTGTAACTCTACCTGTCAAATAAATAAATAAAATCTTAAAAAAAAAAAAAAAAGATTACAGAGGCTACAATTTAAAAACTGAACAGTACTAAGTGCTGGTGAGGATCAGAGTACAATGATCCCTTGTACAGAGTACAAGGTACCTTGTACTTTGCTGAGAGAAATCCCAAGTATCACTGCCACTTTAACCAGTGAATTAAGACAAAGAAAAAGACAGTTACACTTTTCCCATCTTTATTTGCAGATGATATCACTGTAGTTTATATAGAAAAGCCTAAGGGACCTAGCAAATAACAACTCAAAGAAATACGTGAATTTGGGGCTGGCACTGTGGTGTAGTAGATAAAGCCTGCAATGCCAGAATCCCATAAGGGTGCCAGTTCGAGTCACAGGTGCTCCACTTCCAATCCAGCTCTTTGTGATGGCCTGAGAAAGCAATAGAAGATGGCCCAAGGCCTTGGGCCCCTGCACCCGCATGGGAGACCCAGAGGAAGCTCCTGGTTCCGGGTCAGCAGAACTCTGGCTGTCTCAGCCAACTGGGGAATGAACCAGTCAATCGAAGACCTCTCCCTCTCTCTCTGCCTCTCCTTCTCTGTCTGTGGAACTCTTTCAACTAAGTAAATTAATTAAAAAAAAAAAAGAGAGAGAGAGAGAGAGAGAAATAAGTGAATTTATCAAGGGCACATGACTCAAGGTCCACATACAGTTGGTTGGTTGTTAGCCGCAAACAACTGGAAAATAAAATGTCATAAAAATACAATTTATAGGTGTGGGGAGCAACCCAGACTGGACTGAGTTACTGGAATTAAGACTTATTCTATGCATCTGCTCTCCCACAATATGGCGCTGGGAGAGGAGAAAACAGCTTCTACGCAGCTGCCTCTTGCCAACTTGAGTGATGACCTCCAGGAGCTGATCCTGCTCCTGATTGGAG